AAACGCGCGTCGTCGCTGTCCAACGCAAATCGCATCAAATTCGATGCCCAAGCCCCTCGGGCCCATCCTGGCCGAGACAAGCGTGGCAGCGCGTAAGGCTTTATCGGCGGCCCCCGTTCTCCATGTTTCTCCCAACCATCCTGCGGTGTTGAGTCCTCGTTTAGAAGAGACAACACCCCGCGTTCACTCCTCCTTCCTTCTCCCCCCCTCCTACCCCACCCTCAACATCACCCATGGCGGCACACCCCTCACACGCTTCGTGGCCCCATGGGGAAAACCCACCGAAGGTTCCAGTGGCTGCGTTCGCGCTGCGTTCGGATGCGGCTCCACCCCCATTTCGGCACACCCCTCAGTCGTGGCCCCAAAGGGAGCTCCACCGAAGGCCCCAGTGGTTGCGTTCGCGCAGGTCCACCCCCCATGCGGCACACCCCTCACACGTTTCGTGGCCCCACAGGGAGCCCCACCGAAGGCCCCAGCGGCTGCGTTCGCATGCGGTTCCACCCCCCACTTCGGCACGCCAATCATACGTTTCGCGACCCCATAGGGAGCTCCACCGAAGGCCCCAGTGGCTGCGTTTTGATGCGGTTCCACTCCCACGGAACACCCTTTCACACGTTTCGTGGCCCCACAGGGAACTCCACCGAAGGCCCCAGTGGCTGCGTCGCTGGGACCCTCTCGGGGCGACCACCGCGCGAACTCCGCGCTGCGCTCTGCCCAACGCCTCGCTCGCCTCCGTCGCTCCGCCCAGCGGCCAGAGCCATGCGCGCTATCAGTTGGCCAGTAAGCACTTTCTGATCCGCACAGCGGACGAAACGCGAGCGTCGCTGGGACCCCTCCGGGGCGACCTGCGCGCGTCGCGGGGACTCCGCGCTGCGCTGCGCCCGCAGCCTTGGACTTTGGAGTGCGCGGGCAAAGAGGGAGGGAAAAAGGGAAGGAAGCGGGCGCGATCCTCGTGGGGGGCGTGCCGACATGGGCGTCGCGGCGTGCGGGCGCTGCCGTCAGGGTGCTCGGGGAAGCTCCCTGCGGCGGCCACCCTCAGTGTCACGAGTACTCAGAAGCATGCCTACCCGAACCATTTACATTCATATACATGTACACCAGGCGTGGCCATGCTCGCATTGATGCAACGTACACCTGAGAAAACCCAAGCAGTGGATGATTTGAAAATGAGTCATGTGGATCTTGAGATCGATTGTGAGATCGACCATGAGATCGATAGTGGAATCGATAGAGGACGATTGTAAGGTCGATCGTGAGACCGAGAGTGAAACCAATCTAATGAGATCGATAGGGAGATCGATCGCGAGATCACTCGTACGATCTCTAGTGAGATCGCTTGCGAGATCGATTGTGAGATCGAGAGGTGGGAAATTAGATCGATGCTGAGACCGATCGATAAGAAGATCGACCAGAAACCCAGGAATCTAGGAACCTCGCCGCCCACCGAAATCGGCCCGGGAACCGGGAACCCAAGAACCCGGAACCAGAACCCGGGAACTCAGCGTGCGACCAACATCGGCGGGAAACTGTCGCCAAATCCTTCAAATACACATGAGAAAACCCAATCAGTGGATGATTTGAAAATCAGTCATATGGATCTTGAGATCAAGTGTGAGATCGACCATGAGATCGATAGTGGAATCGATAGAGGACGATTGTAAGGTCGATCGTGAGACCGAGAGTGAAACCGATTCAACGAGATCGATAGGGAGATCGATCGCGAGATCGCTCGTGTGATCTCTAGTGAGATCGCTTGCGAGATCGATTGTGAGATCGATTGTGAGATCGATGGTGAGATCGATAGAGAGGTGGGAAATGAGATCGATGCTGAGACCAATCGATAAGAAGATCGACCAGGAGCCTGGGAACCTGGGAACCCCGCCGCCCACCGAAATCGGCCCGGGAACCGGGAACCCGGGAACCCGGAACCGTGAACCCGGGAACCCAGCGTGCGACCAAAATCGGCGGGAAACTTTCGCCAAATCCTTCAACCTCCGCTAGGACCCCTTCAATGCAAGCACTGATTGGGGAACCTCCGCTAGGACACCTTCAGTGCAAGCACTGATTAGGGAATATACTCACTCGCGCGCATTCACACTCAAATTCACTCGCGCTCAGACTCACCAATCATACGGTTCGTGGGCTCATAGGGAGCGCCACCGAAGAAGATACTCACAATTGCGGTACTCACAACTGCATATGATTGGGTCCTTCGCCAGGCTAAGTTTAGATTCCGCTCTGGAGGCGAGGACATTGAGGACCGTCCTGGCCACCTTTTCGACCAGCGCCCAGCCGTGGCGACAAGAACCTCCAGAAACGCTCGAAAACCTCCGAAGCGAAGACGCCGTCGCCGCCCATGATTTTTCGCGCCGCCCAGGAAGGTCTGCGGCCGACGGCCGAGGGGGCACCCTGGGAGCCGGGCTTTGCAGGCTCCTGCAAGATCCTGCAGGGTCCTGCAAGATCTGGCACCCAAACCCAGGTCAGTGCAGCCCTGGCTCTGCAGGATCCTGCAAGATCCAGTGCTATGACTGACCTCCGCTTGTATTGACCCCCGCCCCTTGAGCCCGCACCGACCCCCTCCCCAGGACCGGCCTGTCATCCTGAGCATATTTGGGAGGCCCGGGCCCCCCAAAGGCCGACAATACCGGAAAACCTCGCCGTCGTGATTTCTCATGCTGCGGGGAAGTCTGGGATGCCCTGGGGGGGAAGACAACGAGGACCACGACCAAGACTGAACGTCGTCGCGAATCGGCGACGGCCGGCGTGGACCATGACCGAGCTTGCCGTCGACAAGATCCCGCGGCATCTTGTCCATAGTCGTCGCATTTCTTCCCTCAATACCTGGTAAGGCTTCGGGTTGCGCACAGACAGCCCCCCCAGGTAGTCCCAGTTTGCCTCACCAGGCTCCCAGAGCAATCCAAACTGGCCTCAACAGGCTCCCCGAGAAGTCTAGGGCGGTCTCAACACCTCAACCCTGGGGCGCGGAGCGCCCCAGGGTCGCAGCCGGAGGCGGCGCCAGGGAGTTGAGACCCCGCCAGGCTACGCGGGGGGCCTGTTGAGACCGGCTGGGACTACTCTGGGGGCCTGCTGAGGATCGCCAGGACTGCCTGGGGTGTGGCCGTCTGTGCGCAACCCGAAGCCCTACCACCCGGACCCCCGACGTCATGATATTTCACGAGTCGACCTCCAGAGGACTCGACCCACTCACTCCCCAGGACCGGTTGTTCATCCTGCGTCGTTTTGCTGAAGGCCCCGAGGTCCGCCCAGGGCCCCCAGAGGCATAAAACAGCAACAAAAATCCGCTGGAAGGTGTCTCGCTGCTTGTATGCTATTTCCATGACTCGACGGAAGGCTTCCATCGTGCTTTTGTCACAACTCGAGGGGGTCTGGGCGTCGGTGCCCGCCTGCCCCGCGGCGCGTTCCCGAGGCCCCTCCGAAGGCCCCCAGCGCCGCCGCGGAGCCGCCGCTCAGGGGCTGGTCCGCGCGGGCCCAGGCCTCATCCGCGCGGCCTGCCCAGGGGAGAACGCGGGAGGAGCGGGCGCGGAGTCGAGTTGCAGCTCCGGGTGGGAGCACGACGCTTGTGCGCGACCGCCACCAACAAGCCGGTCTGGCACAAGACCGTGGAGAGGGGTTGCGCACAAAATTGGCCCCCCCCTGGGGGCACGATTCTTGCACAGCACCCGACGAATCAGCTGGTCCAGCGCCAGGTACGCGCGCGGGGGCGGTGGCAATAGATCTTCCCCCGATCGGGGGGCCCTGCATGGAGGTCGTTGGGGAGCAGCCTTGTCTTCAGGGCCAAATCCAAATACGCTCGGGCAGCACGCTTGATCCGTCACTAGCAATCCTGACGACCCCCCTTCGCAGGAAGCTCGGACCTCAGGTCTGCTCTTACCGATTGTTGGGCTGCTCAGGTTTCCTCGTGCCGAACGGGCATTGCCCCCTACCCCTTCGCCCCAGAAACACAGATCGTGCCTGCTGCCAATCAGCCAAACTCAAAAACTCGTATGAACTCCTGGGGCAACAGCCAGGAAATGAAGATCGAGAAACCCGCTGCTCCTCAGGAAGGCCACCCCAACCGCGCCAAAGACGGACAGGCAAGCGGGGGACCGTGTCTGCCCCGTCGCGCCTCCATCTGCGTCGAATCCGTGTCGAATCCGTGTCATGTCAGACTCGTCGAATCCGCGTCGAAGCCGCGCCAGATCCGCATCGAGTCCGCCTCGAGCACGCGTCGGGCACAAGAAAACACACAAGTTGTGGGGACAAACGAGGCCCCCCGAAGATGCAACGTAACGCGGAAGAGGCGATGGAGGTGTCCCTGAGACCCAGATCTCCGACGATCTATATTTGTTCCCAACCCTTGCGTTTTGCTCAATTTCGGCGCCTGGGGGCCGCTATCGGGCCCTGGAGCTCTCAAAATTGGACCCGGGCTACAAAAACTAGCCCCGGGGAAGAGGTCGGGACCCCTGAGGCCGCGGATTGAAAACAATAGAGGGCCACATGCGAACCCTACCCCTACCCCCGACCACTTCTGAGGGGGAGGGTGAGGTTCACTTCGCTCGAGAGCTCCCGAACGGAATGAACCCCACCTTCCCCTCAGAAATCGTGGGGGGCAGGGGTAGGGTTCGCATGTGGCCCCCTAAACAATCATATCGGATGTCTGGGGCCAGAGGCGCCCCTGGAAGAGGCGACGTCGCGAAGAAGCTGCAACACCCTGGGGCATCGCAGCTGCAGCCTGGAGGCCGTCGGCCGGATCCTCCTGCGGCATGTCTCGAGCTGGATCGGTCCACGAGGGTGCAGGGCTGGAGACCGGGCGAAAGCGCCCACCGGGCGAGACCGGGCGAGAGCGCCCTCCTCCTCCTCCGCAGCAGCAGCACAAGGAAGAGAGTCCAAAGCAGGCGGGGGGAGAGAACTAGGGGCCTGTGGCGGGACTTCGGGGGCCTCGGGGTCAGGCAGGGGCCCAAGCCCCGGACACAAGTGAGGAGTCAGATCTGTTAGTTTAATGGCCTCCAGGCCCTGGTGGTCGCACACATCTTCCGAAACCATCTTAACCGCCAGCCTCGCCGAGAATTTGCACGCCTGGGTCGCCAGGGCCAGACAGCCTTCCAGGAGAAGCACATCGCGCTCTTCGGCTTGTGCGAAACTGGCGCCTCTTTTGGCGAAAGAGTCTGCACGGGCATTGCCGACCAGGTCTAAGTCAGTCAGCTTTCCTTCCCTCGCGCCCACCATCGAGCAATGCGCAGGGACATGCTGAAAAGAAAAATGCTGGAATTCTTCCCGGCCATGCCCCCGGAGCCACAAGTGGGCTCGAGGATTGGTGACGCCGGTTGACTTCGGTACGTCAGAGCAGCGCGACAAGGTAGGTTTACAGTCGGCCTTCAACGAAAACTCACCTAGCACGTGCACCGAAGCCGTGTATGCTGCGTAATCTTCACCGTCCCTGGCAACGCTCGTTATCGCAATCTCGGGCGGCACCACACCATAGATGGCCCCTCGGTAGGTACCGTCCGCGCGTGCAGCCACGACACATCAGTGAACACAAACCCGCCGTCTAGGCGGATGGGAAGATCAACTCCTGTGCCTCGCAGGGCCCACGTCGGGTCAAAGGCTGGACGACTCACCACGGCACCTGGATCAGGGAAAACACCTCTCGCGAATCTCTCCCGCCAAGTGGGAGGGGCCAGGCCAACCCGATTAGCAGCCCTTGCCAACTCGGCCGATATATTATCCCGCCGCCACGCTTCGTGGCCTGGGCACTGGTAGCACCTATGATGGAGAGACCCGCGGGCTTCTCCACACAGCAGGCATATCGGCGAGACAGTCGCGTCCTGATCGTGCAGGCGGCCCTGCGTCCAATGCGAGCCGGCAACCAGACCCCGAAGGGTATTCTGCTGGTGTTTCCCCCAACCCTGGTCCCAATCGCAAAAAAGGCTCTCAAGCACTGGCCGCCAAAAGATGGGGCAGGCCCAGCAATGCCGATCTTGAAAAAGAAGCGCTCGAACGTCGGACGCCCGCCGCGCTGAAAAAACAATCTGGCCGGCCAAACCGGCCGGCGAATTAAACTTGAGATCCCACTCCTGGCCCCCGTCGTCCACAGCCAAGGTGGCCCCCCGAAAACTCCATCCCACTCGAGAGACGGAGGAGGAGGAGCCCAGCGTAGAGAGCGAGTCGGTTCGACACACCTTGAATCTAACAGGGACCCGCAACTCTCAGCGAGAGTGAGAAGTGAAGGCGACAGCCCCACGAATGGACGTCACACCAGGGAGCCTGGCGCCGACCACCAGGGAAAGGACGAGCGGCGACAGGACCCAGAAGCCGAGGGCGAGCGAGTCCAGCCACCTTACTGCGACCAACGCCCGCCCGAACACCAATCGCCATCGTCGCCGCAGGCGAAGAAGCCCGCTGGCGGGGAGCCACTGCAGAAGCACGGCACGATGTCGTCACTGATGAAGAACTCCGAACCTCCGCAGACAGGGCACAACTCAGCACTACCACGGCGAAGGCGAGCTGGCCGCATGTGAGGAGCGTCATCCCGACCGCAGGGCGCGGCGCCACGCGAGGCGGCGGCCGACAGAGACGACGTGCACGACCGCGGCAAAGGCGGACACGAAGCAGACAGAGACGCAGAAGCAGCACACGATGCAGCCACAGCGTCGCGGACGGCGTCGACGCTCTGCATCAACTCATTCATGGACGACCTCACGATGCTCGTCACGCTCTTCGACATGATGCTCTCGACATCACTGCGGCACACATCCCGAAAGCTCGTGAGCATGGCCTTCACCACGGCGTGCAGGTCTTCGACGGCGGTATCGCTGTACTTGTAGGGATCGGAGGCGTCCCCGCACCCGCGATGAGCATGGCTGTCGTGCACACGTGCCTCGAGCTCGCCATACAACTGGGCGATGGTGTCGTTCTGCGCCGCCAGCAGACACAGCGCGTACTCGAGCTGGGCAGCCAGCGCCTCCAGGTCACCGCGCGAGGCAGTGGGCCGAGTCACAGCAGGGGCCGCAGCGGCAGCGGGCACGTAAGACGCCGCCTCGGCGCGCAGCGAGGCAGGCGACACGACCGCAACCAGGGCACGACAAAACGACCGCGGGTAGCTTGGCGAGCGCCTGAGCCCATGGGTCCGCCCCAGCAGCGAGCCATGGGTCAGGACGGGACGGCACGCCACACGAGGCGGCGAGAGCAGACGCGGCAGCTGTCTTCTCGACATTGTGCTTCGCAGCGTTGGCGGCCTTGTGGATCTTCTGCGCCTTGTCATACTCGCTCTTGCCGACATTCGCCCGCGCCGCATACGAGGCAAGGCGTGCAGCATGATAAGGTGGAGCAGCTCCCTGAGCGTGGTGGGCAGCGTGAAGCTCCATGGACTGCGTCACTTTGCGGGCATCCTCCAACATGTCGCTCTGGACGCTCAGCCATCGACGCCCACGACCAGGACGAGGAACAAGGAAGCCACGCTCGGCGGCTCGACGGCGCCTGGTCTTCAGCTTCGCGGGCGAGTGCCGATGGACCATGGCCAGGAGGGAGGCGAACAAGAAGAGGACCGCACGTGGCAGTTCGCAACCAGGACTCAGACAGAAAGCAGCCCGCCGCCAGCCGCAAAGCACCGGGAAGCCATGCCACGCCAGATTGAGCCACTGGGGGTTCGCTCGCTGGTGAGCGGCATGAGCCAAAATGGCTACGGAGGAGGAGGAGGAGGACGACGACGACGACGACGAGCCACGCGGGTGCCAGCGAGCCAGGCGAGCAGAAAAGGAGGAGCTGGAGGGGAGGGAATGGAGGTGAGGGAGCCTTGGCATCCAGGCGTCGCATGTCTGTTCGCCACGCGATGTCGTGAAGTCCCGCAAAAAGAAAGAACTCGAGCTTTTTCACTACATCGGGACACAAGGATGGAGGATAGACGGGATGGGGCCCGAGAGGAGAGGCGGAGAGGAAGAGAGAGGAAGGGAAGCCTTCCTCTCTGCCCATACCGTCTATCTCCTACTCCCTCCCTCCCCACGCATCCGAAGTAGTGTTGCCTATTTTCGATTCGGGGTCCCCAGAGCACTTAACCTCTTCCCAGAGACCAGTGTTTCATCCTAGAGCGAATTCTGACGGCCCCAGAACCCGAAAAAGGCCACTGGACGCAAAAAAATGCGAATTGAAGCCTCTGTCTTGATTTTTCATGACGGTGGAATACTTCGTCTTTCCCTCCCAGACGTCTGGCGGCTCGAATCCATCGAGACGGCAAATTTGTTCCATTCTTGGCCTCCGGGGGGCTGGGCTTTAGGCTTTAGGGCATGGGATGGGCTAACAGCACACATGATGAAAAACTAGCCACGGGGAAGGGATCGAAAAGTCTGGGGGGGCGAGGACTCGAAGAAATCGCACCGCTAGAACGGCTATGGGCGGAAGGAGGACGGAGGACAAAAGAGGGGAGGGAGGAGGGAGGCGGGAGGCGGGAGGAGGAGTAGGCGGGTCGTCGTCGAACGAGGGCTTGGGGCGAACCCGCGCTCTGTGCAAACCCCACGGCTCGATCAGAGACAGGGGCGGGCGGCGCGGCGAAGATATGGGCTGGGGGAGGGGGCAGCAGGGAGGAGGGTGGAGGGAGGGAGGGAGGGAGGAAAGCAGGAAGGAAAGGGAAGGAGAGAGGGAGCCTCACGACGGAGTTGCGTGGCTCAGACCCCCCAGCCGCACCCCCGTCTCCTCCGCCTCCTGGCTCTCGGCCTGCTCTCTCCTGCATTCCCTCCTCTCCCTTCTTGAGCCAGGCCCGGTCTGCAACGGCGTGCGTGGCGGAACGCAGCCCCCATGCCTGGGGGGGCCTTGCCATGCGGGAAGGGTGGGGAACCCTCGGGCTGTCCCCGGGCCAAGGCGCGAGGGAAGGGAAGGGAGATCCGATGTCTTGCGTTTTTTTCGATACGGGGCCCCCGCAAGCCTCGACTCACTTCCCGGGACCAGCGTCTCACGCTGAGCCGTTCTGTGACAGTCCTGTGGCCAAGCGAGGGACCCTGGAGGCCGAAAAAGGCGAAACACCTGCCTTGTTTTTCAATACGTTGTTTCTCTCGGGGGACGAAGAAGTTGGAGGCGGCGGGGGGGTCTGAACTGGTTGGAACCCCAAACAATCGGCCAGGAGGGGGGGTGAAAGCAAATCCCGTCAAAGTCCGTCCCCAGACCCCTCCGGGGGCTCCATCATTTTCACTTTTCTGGTGCAACTTTCCACCCCAGATCCGTTTTTCACTGTCCCGCGGCCCGAAGACGGCTCCCAGAAGGCCGAACAAGGTTTTCTTCATATGCGTATAGCTGTGTATATATATACATATATATATATACATATATATACATATATATGTATGTATATATATACATACATATATATAGAGATATATGTGTGTATGTATGTGTACATGCATGCATGCATGCTTGTATGTATGCATACGCGTATGTGTATGGGTATGTGCATGTGTATGTGTATGTGTACGTGTATGTGTACGTGTACGGATACGTGTGTATGTACGTGTATGTGTATGTGTATGTGTATGTGTATGTGCACGTGCATGTGCATGACTATATGTATATGGGTGCGTATATGTGTATGTGTGTATGTGTGTATGTGTATGCGTATGCGTGCGTGTGCGTGTGCGTCTGCGTGAGCGCGTGTGTGTGTGTGTTGTGTGCGTGTGCGTGTGCGTGTGCGTGTGTGCGTGTGTGCGTGTGTGTGTGTTGTGTGCGTGTGCGTGTGCGTGTACGCGTACGCGTGCGTGTGCGTGTGCGTGTGTGTGTGTGTGTTGTGTGTACGTGTGTTCGCGTGCGTGCTCCCTTCATTACTTATCAAAAACAAGAAGACACGAGCCCAGAACCTCGAACCTGCCCGCCCTTCCTGCTGGCTGGACCCAGTGCTGGGCCACCTCAGACCCCCCAGACGGCTCCAGAGGTGGAGGGGCAGGGCGGCGGCGAGGGCCCCGAGCCCCTCCTGCGCGGGCGCCGGCCCGCGGCCCGCACAGGGCCGGCGGCGGCCTCGCCGCCGCCTGCATCGCCAGCATGGCGGGAGGCTGCGCGGGCAGGGGGGTGCCGCCTCCCCCGCACGCGCCACGGGGCAACGCCGAGGGGGGTCACCGCCCGGAGGTGGGGGGGGGGGGACGCCACGCCGAGCCACGGGCGCACGGCAACGGGGAGGCACCACAGGCCAGATCCGAGCGACCTGTGCCCTCCCGTTCCCGCCCCGTGTCCAGGCTGCGTCTCGCTGCCAGAGGGGGCCGTCCTCGAGAAGGAGTTGCACGACAAGCGGGCGAGGAAAAACAAACCGGAGACACTCCCGCCTCCCCGGTTGTTTCCTGTTCTGCCCTTCCTCTCTTCCATTATCTCTCGTGCTCGCTCCATCGTGTCCGACCCTCCGGCCATCAAACCTAGATCTGCTTGGACGGGGCCTTTTTGTCCGAGCGTCTCATCTCGGAAACGGCCAGGGGGGTCTGCGCTGGGTGGGCCCCGAGAAAATCAATCAAGGGGTGGGGGGGGGGACGAGGGCACACCCGCCCAAAGTCGGTCCCCAGGCCCCTCCCAGGGTCGAAACTGACCACCTCTTCGAGCCGCGCCGAAGCCGTGGCGACGACGGGGCCCCTTCCTCTCCCCCTCCTGCTGGCTAGAACCAGTGAAGGGCCGCCTCAGTCCCCCAGCCAGCTCCAACGCCACCATCTCGAGCGGGAGGAACCCTCCGGATCCCCCGAAGCTGCTCAGAGCCTCCAAGACGCGCACAAGGTCGTCCAACAAAAAACTCGTCGATCCTCGATCCTGGCCAGGCACAGCCTGACCCAAAGATCGGTGCGTACGCTCTCCTGGCGTGGCCAGGGAGGCAGATGCACAGGCCCGATCCTGAGCCCAGGATGGGCCTGGACAGGATCGGTGTATGTGCCTAGCTCTCTTCGCCCGACGTCAGGGTGGAGCAGCCATCAACTCGAGCGGGAGGAACCCTCAGGACCCCTCAAGCTCCCCAAGAGCCCTCCAGACCGCACCAAGGTCGTCGAAGAACCTCCTCGGTCCTCGATCCTGGGACCCAGATCTGCATGAGGAACTGGTGACCCGCCTGGTGGTGTCCCTCCCTCTGGGTCGCGAAGAAACGTAGAGTCATGGACCGAGCACCGCAGTGGCCATGACGACTGCAGCCACTGGAACTGGAACCGAATCCGGCTGCTGGCACTCGCTCGAACAACCGCGTCCACGGGGGCTCGAGAAAAGCCTCAAAAACGGAATGGGTTTAAGCAGGGCGCGTGAAATGCGCTGGAAATAGAGGGCTGGACACGACAACGCCACGTGCCGAAATGCCAAGACAGACGAAACTATCCAGGATCCAGGATCAGCCCGCCAAGTCTTAGCGATTCAAAATCACACGTTTGCCCCCGTGCCGTTTACTGACGTGCATGTATATTACAAACCGTGGGGAGATCTAGGAGTTCCATTGAAATCCCCATAGGCGGCACGCAGACCTCGAGGATGCCAGTCTGGAATTCGGCTGCGGAAGGAAACGCGTCGAAGGGGGTATCTCGCCCCGTGTGCTTCCCCCGATCGTTCACACCTGGGACAGCCAACACAACATTACGACTTCCAGCCCAGAACTCACGTGGGCACCCTCCTGCCACGCCTGCCCGTGGTGACAGTGCCCCCCAAATGCCCACAGAAACGGCAGCAACAAAAACTCGCGAGGACAAGCAGGTTCGCGGCTACACGCCAGACACACCCTAGGCAAGAGAGACCTTTGGCGCGCGGCTTTAAGCGAGGCGCGCGGGGGTGGGGGGCGGCGGGGGGTGGGGGGGAGAAAAGCTAAACCCAAGCGCGCGAACCGATGCTATCGCAGCGCATTCGGCGATCGGGGGCCCCAGTGAGCCCGCCACCACACTGTCAGTCCTGCGGAGCGACGCTCTCACGTACAGTGTGGCTCGGGTGCCACCTCTGGCTGTCCCAGGCCTGGGTCCAGCGGCGGCAGCCGCCGGCGGTCCGCGCAGACGGCACTGGCAGGACGACTCTGGGTGTCAGGACTCAGGGCACGGGCGAGCTCCTCGCGATCACAAGCGACGAACATATCCGTATCCGAGCCCTCGCGGTCTGGATTCCGGGGCGCGATCCCGCGGGCACGCGGTCGCAGGGACATGTTCCGCGCAGGGCATCCGCGAGCAAAACGCCACCTATATCCGCGGGTACGGCTGTGGCTTCCGCCCACGACGCGAGGCGCGGGCCCTCTGCGCAGGAGGCATCCGTGCACCATCACGGTGCCTGGCCGAGGCCATCCCAGGCCCTGGCCTGGCCGCGCTGCCAGCGGGGCTCCAGCGCCGACCCGGGGCACCCCCGCGGGCTTCCAAAAGGTCGCATGTATGTTGATGCTGTGGGGCCGTCTTCGAGTAGAGCTCGCTTCCAGCCCCTTCATCTCAGATGGCCAGCTCATCCAAACCCACTGGCTGGCTTTAGTGCTTTCAGGATGTCGAACACCTCTGTCGCCGCCCCGACGGCCTCCGCCGTTGGCGCCGCGCTCCGGGCGGACATCGTTCAACGACCGCGCGCGCCCCTGGCGATTGGCACGACCTTCTGGCCAGGGCCAAGACGGTCTGCACACCTTCATGAGGCCCAGGCTGGCCTTGGCCAGGCATGGTTTAGGAAGCGACTCCTGGGAGGTGTCGCAAGAACGAGTACGGCCTACTAGGTCCGATTAAAGGGTCATGGAGTCAGACCATGCCGGGTTAGGCGGGGGATAAGACCGAATGAAGCAGGATCAAGCGGGATTTGGTAGGACTGTGCCAGGTAAGGCTGGCTTTCGACCATTGATCTACCAGCGCCGATGCTGACGTTAACCTCCAAGGAATTGTATGCTGTCGCTGGGCTGCGCAGTGACAGCGCTCACGGCGCGCAAGCAAGATTTGCGCGCATACAACTGTCGGGAACGAGCGTTAAACATGGCCGTCTCAAGCCGCGGACCAAAAAGGACATAATAACCGCGCACGCTTCGCTCCCGCTCAAAATCTACAGCGCCCGTCTTGGAACACAACATGTAGCACGGAACAAGGACTGCGCCCGGATGAAGCGGCGAATCTCGTTCATTCGCACAAGTGTCGCAAGCGGGGCCGCGCGAGCGGGCGAAATTTGAGTCGCAAAATTATATGTCGTTTAGTCGTCGTCGGGACAGGGGGCGAGCGCGAACAAAACGCTGCGTTCGCCTAAGCGTCGCGATGCTTTCTCCTGAAATTCGCGCTTTCCACATGGGCGCGGCGCACGACTTTCCCTCACCAAAATGTCGAAAGCGGTTCGCATGCCAACAAATGAACTGATAGTTTCGCACCAAGTCCCCTCATCATTCTTGAGGTTGCGTTCCCACTTGGGCCTGCGAGTGTGCTTCCCCTCGCCAACCGGTCGGAACCGAAGCCGCGCGCGACCGAGCGCCTTCCATTCGCCATGCGGGGGCAGCCGCTTTTTTAATGTCCATCTGCGCTGACATTGATCAATATCCCTTACCATCTTAGGGGACGGATATTGGAAGTGAGCGGGTCCCGCTGACCCGCTCGAGCTGCCTGTACTCATGCTCGCCCACATGTTGTCCTCGCCCTGCGAGAGCGGGCGACATGTGGTCCCCGCCCAAGCGCCACGCAGTCTGCGCGGGAAGAAGGCAATGCTGTTTCGGCGGGGCCCATGCTTTGCGCTCGCGGCGCTCATCATAAATGCGGCCGCCAGAGACAAGTTGGATGGTGCTCTCGCCACAGCGCCGCGTGAGGATTTTTTGGATTTCCGACCCCGCCCTTACGCGGCCCGCGTTTTGCGGTTCCCTCATCATTTTTCTCCCCACAGCCAAGAGGACGCCGACCCACACAGCAGACCAATGGCAACCTCACCGTGCCCGTGAGGTGGACTCCGAGGTCCGGCCATAACAACCCAGCGGACGGCCAATCGTGTCGGCCACGCTCGATACGGGGTGAAACTTTTTTCCCGCGCAGCGAATGGCCAGAAAATGTTGAATGCCTGAAGTGATCCACACTACGGCTGCCAATAGAATCTGGTAAATGAGTCCTCTGGTGTGGTTCCCAGGGCCTCGGACGGCGCCGACGAAGTCCGCACAGAACGGCTGAGGCGGCAGCTGTGGATTACCCTACAGGGTCAACGACAAAACAATTAGGTGGACAGAGGCATGGCCGGGTGGACGCCGGCGTGTCGCACAAAGCGCGGGAGAGGGGAGGAGGAAAGAAGAAGAACGGGAAGAAGAGGGGCGACGGCGCAGTGCGAATGTCCCCACCCGCAGCCCAAACGGCCGCCAGGAGGATGCAAAACAAGACGCACAACGGCAAGCCAGAGGGGAAGAGGGAGGAAGGAAGCCAACAAAACGAACGACAGCGAAAGGAAGCGAGCGAGAACGAAAACAAGGAGAACATAAATATACCCAAATACTGAAAACTACACTTTTAAGGCAGCGCCTGCCGGCGGACGCTGGAAGCTCGCTGAGTAACAGAAGCCCGTCCGGCGGGCACGCCCGCAACATGCACGCGCACATCGAACGACTAAAAACAACACAAGCCTGCGGGGAGGAGGACTCGAGGACACGAGGCGGCGCGCTGCAGCCAGCCAGGCTAACCAGAGGCGGCAGGGGAGGCACAAACCTCCGCAGACCTCACCCGAGGTCAGTGACGACGAAGGACACCGGCGTAGTCGCTGGCGTTGATGCTGGCGTCGGTGCTGGTTTCGGTGCTGCGCCAGCGTAGGTGCTGTTCCCTCGTCAATTCGTCGGAAGCGGGACCGCGCGCGAGTTCCTTCCGTTCGCTAGGCGGGAAAGCCGGCCAGTTCCAATAACAAGTTGCGCCACCTGTGGTCCTTTTGTGGTTGGAGGGAGAGTGGGGATGGACGGGGGGGCCCGCTGACTTGTGCAATCTGGCCAAATTACTCCTCCTCCTGCTCCTCGTCCTCCTCATCCTCCTCCTCCTGCTCCTCACCTCGTTTCTGTGAGTCGTGGATGTGCGCTTGATGCGGGGTGGCTGGCCGAAAGAGGATTGAAAGCTGAAGGTATAATGATTGGAATCGGCAGTAGCGGCAGCAACCTAGTTGGCGGGATTTGCAAAACACAACATGGTGCAGAAGCAGAGCAGGGTGAAGAAGAGTGTTTGGAAGATGGGGATAAATAGGAATAGCGACGACGCGGAGCAAAGACGGGGAATAGGCTGGCATCCTTTCACGAACGTGGCGATGAGCCGCGCGTGGCTCGTAGGCGTCAAGACTCTACTGTTTGGCTCTAGGGCGTCAGTTCAATGAGGGCCGAAGCAGGAGATCTCCCAGCTGCTCAGTGCAAGGGTGTAGCTTGATGCCCCAAAACCACCTCGACAAGAGATCTTACAATACGTCAGGCCAGTGGTGCGGTGATCATTGACTCATTGCGGCAAGAATGCCGAGCACAGCAAATCAGGATGAAGAAGGGCCGCTAGGAACTCGCTCCTGCAAAGGTGCTTGTCTAGCTTCGGGGTGAGGGGGCTCCTTTCAGGGGGGTCACCGCACACCCCAAGAAAATGAAAGGCTGTTGGACCGAGGGGGTCCTGCGCAACGACTCGAGCTCGCTGAACTGACGCGCGCAAGCCGCAAGGGAACCCTCCAGGCCGGCGAAACGCCGCAGGAGAATTCCTAATCATACCTGAGACGCCGGCAAGTGCCAGCACACACGGGGTCTAAGCTTCCCGCGCTAAAAAGTTCATGATAAGCCTGTGCGCGCACACAAGCGACTACATCGGGGGACCCCAAACGGTGTGGTGACCACACCGTGTGGTCAATGCATGGGGATTCGGAGTCACCGCACGCTTTTGGGACTCGGGTGGTTCTACGAGGAAGTCTCGGGTGACTAGGGCCACCGAGGTCCCAAGACCTTGCGGCGACGGTCCGTGTGGTAAGGTCTCGAGATTTCAAGGTCACCGCGCAGTCCGTCAGTCACCGCACGGCTTTGGGACCCCCGAGCGAACCCTGGTGGGAAAACTTGCCCGGGGGACTCGAGCAAGCGCCCGCGCACCCGCGCCGTGATTGATGATCCACGAGTTTTAGGCTGTCGCAGCAAATCGATGCGCGCAAGCCCACTTGTCGCCATGCATCGCTCTCTGCTTTCCTTGGATTTCTGGGGGGCCACGTTAGGCCTGCGAAAGGCGGGCGTGTGGGTTCGTTGGGCGTGCCGCTCTGCCTCTGGAGACGACCCCTGGAGTATCCAGGAGCTGCGCGGACAAATCGGGTGGGCATGGGGCACCCAGGACCTAGCGCAGGAGCTCCTGGGAGCGAGGTGCCGGCCGAACGCTGCAGCCTTTCCGATGTGCACAGCTTTCTCCCTTCGCAGGATCCCGAGGCCCATCAGGCCGTGGCGGCGAGCCGCCCCCCGCCGGGAGGCCCAACAAAAGGGCGAACGCGAGAAGAGGGGCGTCGGTATCAGTATGGTTCTGCTCCCCCGGCCGATTGGTGCCACGCGCGCCTCGTACCGTGCGGGTGGCCGTGCTCTCGATGCCCGACCCCTCCCCCTGGGGAGACAAAAAAGTACCACTGCCGCTACTAGACCACTCACGGGGTGCGTGCTGACCAGGATCTCGAAGCGAATCCAGCGGTGGCGACGAGGGCCTCCCAGCAGGCCCAAAGGAAAACGAAGGAAAAGTAGCGGTATCGGTACCTATTCTTTTAAAGGAACAAGCAGACAAGCAAAAGCATGAACATTATTTCTTGGAAGTCCGCGCGGATTTCTTGGATCGGCGCTGGACCCCTCTCTGGCGCGCGCAGCGCGCCAAGGGCGGCACCGGAGGCGCCGCCAGAGAGGCCCCGCCGATCCAAACGATCAGTCAGCGCAGGCCTCCAAGAAAGTATGTTTATGCCGTATGTTGTTCTTCGATTTGGAATACATGATTGTTTTTCGGCGATAGCCCAGTTTATCAGGGGGAGGGCAGGGGAGGTGCCTGTCGAAAACCTAACCTTCTCGCTTTGGGCAGCCCCACGTACGCCCGCGCGAATCGATACTGCCCCCCCTCCCTTCAAACCTGTGCAACCAAAGAAACCAAGTTATCCAAAGGAGTGAGGGCGGGGGGGGGGCGGGCCCGATAACCCGGCTATCGCCGGGCCCCTGCAAAAAGAATATCGTTCCTCCTCTGCCCACCCCCCCTCCCCCGGGAGCGGATGGCCGCCGCCAGCGCCCGGAACACGGCGGCCGCAAAGGCCGCCGGCACCGGCGGCCGGCCCCCGTCAGCCCCGCCGAGGCTCACTGCAGCGAGAGCCGCCGCTGGTGCCGGAACAGGGCGGCCGCGGAGGCCGCCGACACGAGGGCGAACTCCCGGCGCCCCTCTCTCGCACGCGAGCCCCGAGCCCTGGGCGTTGCAGGTACTTCAAGACGGGCGCCGTCGCCCGGCGTCGGGCCCCGCGACTATCACGGATCGATCCGGCGCAGAGCAGTGCCGCAGTGCCGCAGAAAAATGGGGTCTTGGGCTCCGGTCGTGCTGTCTCGCGACGTGTCGGATCTCAAGGAGGGGGGAGATGCCACTGGGCCACAAGGGGGTGGCGCAGGAGGCAGAGGTGTGAGTGGCAAGCTAGGTGCGCTCGCGCCACGTCTGAGATCCTGCCTCTCCCATTCATCCCTTGCTGTTGCGTCGAATCCTTCTCCAGACCCCTTTTTTCACTATTCGCGAAAACGTCCGTCACCGCCCGCCCGCCTCTCCTCCCCACTGGTCATTTCACGATTCGCGCCGGCGCCGTCTGGGAATAAGCCATGCATTCACACACGGAGCCAGCGCGAATAGTGGCGTGACCGGCCCCCTCCCCCCTCCCCCACCTTCTGATTACGCCTGGGATCGCGTTGGGATATAAAACTGTCTCCTCTCCGCCAACCGGGGTGTCCTAGAAGACCTCGATCTGCACATTGGCGGAGCAGCTACGGCAGGCAGCAGCAACAGGAGGAGCAGCAGCAGGAGGAGCAGGAGCAGGACGAGCAGGAGGAGAAGAAGCAAGAGGAGCAGGAGCAGGAGGAGCAGGATGACCTGCGTGCAGGTGAGGATTCCCGTCGTTGGACTGGGGGGCGCCATTTGGACGTTCCTCTCAGCAGGGGGCGACGCCTTTGAGCCTTCCACCTTGGCGAGCGTAGACCCCCGCCGCACACGGTTCGCCGCCGCCGCCTCAGCCCCCTCCTCCTTCTCCCCTCTGGACGTTATTACGGCTCCTCGCTATTCCCGCCGCCTCCTCCTGAAGTCTGCCTGTCGTTTACTCACGCATTTGACCCACCAGCCAGCGACTCCTGGAGCGACCGCTCCAAGAGTCGCCTGGCTCTTTGATGCGATCGAGCCCCCAGGGCCGACCGGCCCTTGGGGGGGAGGGCAACATCCGCTGGATCTTTCCGCCATCAGTCCACAGCCCACAGCAGGAGGAGCAGGAGCAGGAGGATCAGGAGAATGGGGGAGCAGGTGGAAGGAGGGAGGAAGAAGGAGTCGATTGCAGAAATGTGGCCTGCGCTGTGGCGAGAGCGCCATTCTGAACGACGGGGGCGAAGCACTGATCCCGAAGTGTGGCTAACGCTGCAAGTGGAGAACGGTTTTGAAGGACCACAGGCGTCATGATTCAACAACACCTCATCGTTCACCTTTGGGGCGATAGGAAATCATGGGGTGGGGAACTTTCATCTGACTTTGCAATGCGTCGTGCCTTTCGATGTGTGCGTGTTCGATGTGAAATTCGAATGCACGTCGATGTGTAGCTCGATGATAATCTCGATGAGCATGTCGCTTGCAATTGGATGTGCATGTCGATGTGAAGTTCTACTGGCATGTCGTCTTGAGCATCGATGTGCAATTCGGCGTTCATGCCGATTGCAGGTGTCTGTGGACGTCGATGCGCAATTCGCGCTGTGTGTCGCGTTGCATTCGATTTGCATTTCGACATATGTGTCGATTGCATTTGTAGTGGCACTCGCTGTGCTCAACGTTGTGCACGTTGAGTTACATTCCGACTTACAGGTCGATGCGCATGTCGAATGTCATGCCGGCCTGAAGTTTGATCACAGTTGAGCATGCATGTTGGTTTGCACTTCGATGTTCATGTCGATTGCAATTGAATGATCATTCCTTCTTGTCTTCCCATAGCGCAAACGAGATTATGAACTCCACCGATCCGTCAAGCACTGCACATCATGGACGCATAACTGTTCCGCAGCGTGAGATTAAGGGCCGACTGGCCGTCGTCTAACCGCACGCGTCCGCATGCAGTATGTTCAAGATGAGCCTTGAAACAAAAAGACCAGACATCCAGTTTGTCCGCCAAAGGCGAGGGAGGGGAGCAGAGGAGACGGAAGGAATCAGCCTGGCGAAGGACCCAACCACATGCAGTTGTGAGTCCCCCTTGGGCCAGGAAGCATGTGAGGGGTGTGCAAAGATGGGTGCGGCGGGCGCATGCGAACGCAGCCACTGGGGCCTTCGGTGGAACTCCCTACAAGGCCACGAAGCGTGTGATGGGTCGGCGGGCGCAAGCGAACGCAACCACTGGGGCCTTCAGTGGAGCCCCATACGGGGCCACGATACGTGCGAGGGGTGTGCCGAAATGGGTGCGGCGGGCGCATGCGAACGCAGCCAATGGAGCCTTCGGGAGAACTCCATACGAGGCCACGAAACGTGTGCTGAAATGGGTGCGGCGGGCGCATGCGAACGCAGCCACTGGGGCATTCAGTGGCGCCCCCTACAGGGCCACGAAACGTGTGAGAGGTATGCCAAGATGGGTGCGGCGGGCGCATGCGAACGCTGGCATTTGGGCCTTCGGTGGGGCTCCCTATGGGGCCACGAAACGTGTGAGGGGTGTGCCAAAATGAATGCGGCTGGCGCATGCGAACGCTGACGCTTGGGCCTTCGGTGGAGCTCCTTATGGGGCCACGAAACGTGCGATGAGTGTGCTGAAACAGGCGATGACGATGATGATGAGAGGAGGAGGGAGGGGCAGCGGCAGGAGGAGGAGTGAACGCGGGGACCGTCTCTTCAAAACGAGGACCCAACACCACAGGATGGTTGGGAAAAACAAAACGGCGCTCGTGGGTGCGGAGGCCAGACGAGGGCAGCGCGCGCACCAGGGTCCCACACGAGCAGCGCGAGAAAGCGCAGGGAAGCAGAGGGGAGGGAACGAGGAGGAGGAGGAGGAGGAGGAACGGACAGCCAAGACAGTGACGCAGTGCGGAAACGCAAGTCGAACAAATACGTAGATCGTATACTCAGTTTGGGTCACGGCGCCCATCGCAGAACCAGACCGCCGAAAAGCAGCGGTCGCTAGAGAGCCGGCGTGCGGCACCTAAAGGGGCGCGGTCTGCTGGGTCGAGCGGCCGAGTGCGAGCCCGCCGGCCTCTTTGATGAGCCTCTCGACCTGCACGCCGAGTGCTGCTGGACCTGCAAGTCGCCATGCGTTACAAATACGGGAGGGCCACAGCGGTCCAAGCACCCACGGGCGATTGCGGGACACCGGGCAAGAGCGGTCCAAGCAGCAACGAGGGAGTGCGGGCCACGGGGCCGTAGCAGTCCAAGCACCCACTGGCGAGCGTGGAACGCAAGGGCTTAGCAGACCAACCACGAGCATGTGCGGGACGCAGGGCCACAGCGGCTAGCGACTGCGGGACACAGGGCCCTAGCCACAGCGGTCCAAACACCCGTAGCAGTCGAAGGATCCAATGGAAAAAGCGCGAGAATTTGCAACAGGGCCTTACAGCACAAGAAACAACCTCTCAGCTCATGCACAGTTTAGACAAGCATTCTGCGTCCGCGATGGAAGATGACAGACGACTCGGGCGCGCCTGGTGCATCCTCCTCAGCCCGCCCGCCTCTAAGTGTCTCCATCCACCACCTCTCCTCACTGCGATGCCAACCTGAGCGCTAATCCTTCGGTTTTGCCTGAAGCCCCGCTGGACTGCTGCATCCGCCACGGTCCGTGTGCGCTATCCCTTCTTTGCACGTCACGCACCTACGATTCCCCTGCCACACCTGCTGCCGAACAGATGGTCGCCCTCGAAGCGTTCTCTGGCGCTGGCCCTGCTCTACCTCTCTACAACCGTGACCTTGTGCCAAGCGTGTCGCGGCGGTGGCCCCCGCGACACGCTGACCCTTGCAAGGGGATGACGCGTCGCACCGCTCCGCGGGGCGGGACCCTAGGAAAGGCTCGGGACGTTGACGCCTGGGAACTGGGACGTGGATGGCGTGTCGCGCCGAGGCCTGGTGAGCAAGACCTAGCGGAGCAACACGCCCAGTGTTCCTGACCGTATCTCCCTCTCTCTCGCCCTCTCTCTCTCTCTCGCTCTCTCTTTCGCTCCCTCTCTCTCTCTCTCTCTTTCTCTCTCTCTCACTCACTCTCTCATGTTCTCTCTCTCTCTCTCTCACTCTCTCACTCTCTCACTCTCTCTCTCTCTCTCGCACTCTTGCACTCTCTCTCACTCTCTCTCTCTCTCTCGCTCGCGCTCTCTCTCTCTCTCTCTCTGCGTATACATATTACGCACCCTCTCATTGCACTCCTCCGCCTCCTCATGGCCCCCCTCCCCGATCACTAAAAAAATGCCCTTCCCGCTGGTCTTCCCAGGGTTCCTAATTGTGTGTGCATGCGCCGTCGTCGTCGTGTCATTCTTCCTCATGCTCTTGCTACTCCTGCTCCTCATCCTTCTCATCGTCATGCGCCGCACAAGATGCATCACTGTGGTAAAGTCGGCCAAAGCAGGTCTGCATCCTGCTGGACGCCATGCAGACATATAGAAGCTGCCCTTCCTACCCCTGGAGCAGTCGTGGCGGCGTTGAGGATACCCAGAACAATGCCCTCTACGAAAAGGACTGCGTTCATGAAGAACGGGCGGTGCATGATTGGACCTGGCATATGCACAAGTTCGTGTGGGGAGGCATCAGTAGTGCGTCAGAGCTACGAAGAGAGCCAAGGCTAACAGGGTGGCTACAGGGTGGCTACAAAAACTCAGCTTCATTGGGGCACATTAGCTGAAGTGCGTCGTTCAGGCGCATGCGCGTGACTCCCGCTGGCCTGAGGCCCTGAATGGGGATCGATATAGATGCATATAGCTACACTATATATATATATATATATATATATATGCGCTTGCACGTGAATCATCTGAGCGTCTGATGCGCCGTGGCCGCACAGTAGTCGGTATGAAAATGCATCACATGGGGACGAAAGCGTCCCCAGAAAATCCCGGAAAAATGCGGGGACGCTTTTTGCGCCAAAAGTCCGTCGCATGCCTGTCCTGCGAACGTTGCCGAAAGCAAGTGAGGGAAGACGGGAACGGGCCATGCCACGATTACGTTGCTGCTAACTGTAGGCGCCGGCCTCGAGCCAACAAATCCTGCCTCCCTGGACAGACAGACGCAAACAAAAACAGCTACCTGTGACAATTATTGCCCGGGCGAGCGGTCGAGGAGGAGGAGGAGGAGGAAGAGGAGGAGACAAGTGAAACCAGACGGCGAAAGATACGAATTAGCCCAACAACGTATCAGCCCCTGGCCTGCCAAGCTGTTGTTGGACAGACCCGTATTGAATGGCCTCGACGGACAAACAATGCATTCACGACTCACGGTACTATATAAACCGTATTGCCAGCGAGGAGCTACCCACCACATAACACCCCTGAAAGTCATCCACTGTCACAGACGGCGGCCAGGCACAAACGCGCAATAACATCTTAGGTCAAATAATACCCCAATTGCAGCCCTTATGGCTGCCCAGCCATAGCTGGGGGGAAGAAAAAACGTCCACAATCCACAAGAGGAAGAAACAGGAGGACAATACCCACGACGCCGACAGAAGAGGAAAAGAGCAAGACGGAGGAGGAACTGCCGTGCACACAAACTATCGGCCGCTCGGCCGGGACATAGCCGACTGGGCCTTCGCTACTTCGACGGGCTGGCACCCCCAAATAGGGCGACACGCCGGCGTCCACCCTCGGGGGGCGAAAACTCGAGCACAGTTTCGACTCCGGCCGAGTCCAGGGCAGACGCCCTCACACGATCCATCTGCCACGCGGCCGGGACAGCTACAGGCCTGCCGGCCTCGACTGACAGAGTGGCACCCCGTGCCCGGGGACGAGGGCGATGCTGGGCTCCAGCCGAGCGTCCTGGGCTTTTGGCCGGCTGTACATATATATATATATATATATCCATACTTCCATGATTTGACAGGACGCTCCTTAGTAGCACGGAGCGGACATTTCCCTGGGGACAAAATGCAACTTTTGCGGGTCAAGTCGAAGAATGTCCAAGGGACTTCCTTGGGGATGGGGGTTCATCCCGAGTCGGTTTCTGGCGGTCCCAGGGCCCGAAAACTGTCCCTGGAGGCCAGCAAGTATGAAAGAACGAAGGCGACGAAAATGAACAAATCGACTGTTAAAGTTGCATTGCTCTTCTAGGGCAGTGTATGACGCATGCAGACAAGAACTCATCGTGCCGATGGCCGGATGGGGCGACCTCGCGCCATGTATAGCGGGCTCCCGTCACTCAGATGTCGGCGATGATTCATGGCACCGCGTGAACTGCCCCGCATTGAATGGTCGCAGCAGTACAATAACGCAGATCGTTCGATACGGCGTGGGATTCGACGAGCAACCATTGGATAAGGAACACAGGATCAAGTAGCCGGCGGAGCACCAATTGAGGCTGAACCATGATGAATATCACCGCCGCCATCATCAGAGAAGGAATCCTCCATGGACAGAAGCCTCCTGGGCACACTCCTTGACGAAAGCCAACACCGTAACGCAGATCATTCGACATCGGCCGATTCGGAACCACTGGCGGCACTCAAAAGCTTGAACGCCCGCGCCAGGGCTGCCGCCGCTTATGCGCGGCACGAGCCTGTCCTAGGCTTGGGCCACGCGCGCAAGGACCGAAGGGCTGCCGCCCGGTGACGAAGTTTCTCGCCGCTCCGTGTGGCCGCAACGACCACACCGCGGCCCAGTGGTCCAGCTAGGTGGAAACATCCGAACCCTGCCCCCCCACCAACCATCGGTTCTCCTGATCGATGGGAGGCGGGGGTAGGGTTTGGATTTGGCCACGTGTTCGGCGACTTCCGAACCCCACCGCCGCAACATCGAGATGCCTGAATCGTTCATCGGCGCGGATGGGGCTCGAATTTCGCCACCGACAAGCGGTCCAGCACGCCCAGCCTCCCGAGACCCCAAGGGGGAGAGAAACTCTGGCAGAAACAGGCCCTGAAATTTGGGGCTTTCCCCGAGACCAGAGCCCCATCCTCGGTCGTTCCTGTTGACGGCCCCCCGGCCTGGGCAGGGCACCAGGAACCCAGAAACTATCAAAAAAACTACAGGGCTCGTTTGCTTCGGGACCCGGTTTTTCCACGCTGACAAATGGCAACTCCTGGCAAGGCCGCGGGCAATCATCCAAGGCGCCTGCCCCAAGGGCGCCGATCGCAGGCCCCTGTCACGCGATCTGATCCCAGCCGCGACCACAGCAATCACCGAGCGGACAGGAGGAGAAGAAGGAGGAACGGGACTCGAGAGCGTGCTGGCACGCCCGTGGCCCTCAGATGTTCTCTGCGTCGACGAGGTCGGCCCCGCAGGACGTGGGGAAGTGGCAGGATGAGGAGGAGTGGCACGGCCCAGGTGGGGACCGCGGGTCGCAGCCCCGCCCGCCTCGCACACGACAGGTGCGGCAGGTATCGCCCAGCCGGACATGCAGGCAGAGGCTCACGCGTGGGCCGACCCTGGGTGTTTTTCCTGCAGCGTGCAGATGTGCGCGGGAATGGATTCTCGACGTCGGCGCTGTTCGGAGGGGCGAGAGCGTGGAACACAAGGGTTTGGGACCCAGCTTGGGCCCCAGATCTGGCCCAAATCGGCGCGTTTCCCCAAAACGCCGATCACAGCATCTCCCATATATCCAAATCGATAGACATGTCGGCCAGCGCACCTACGGCGTGGTTGGGAGCAGGAGCAGGAGCAGGAGGAGGACTCTACGATGCGGTACTGGACAGCATGTACGGGTTCGCCGCCCTTGAATGCCAGCCTTGAGCCGAGCAGGCAACTGCTCGAGGAGCGAACGTCGCCATGAGGGGGCAACGCCAGCCTCTGGCCGCTGGTGTGCGTCCGCACACTCGAGCGGCCACCGTGGCGGAAGGCGGGCGGCACCGAGGGCGGAGCCGTGCGCGCATCACGCGTGCTTTCAAGATTTCGAGGACCACGGTCAGACGGAGGGGCGACGGGACAACTGCATGAGGAGGAGGAGGAGGAGGATCAGGGGAGGAGGAGGATCAGGGGAGAAGAAAGACTCCCTGCTCGAGGAGGCCTCGACCCGCGCAAGGGCCTGCGATCTGGCGCGGGGGGGCCTACATGGCCAGCTGACTCTAGAGGCAGAGGGAGGGATAGAGAGAGAGAGAGGGGGGACAAGGGGAGAGGTGGGGAAGTGCGGGAGAGAGGGGGGGAGGTGGGACCAGGGGAGGAACGGAGGGAGGGAGGGAGGGCAGAGGAGAGGTGAGGAGGAGAGGTGAGGAGGAGAGGTGAGGAGGAGAGGTGAGGAGGAGAGGGAGCGAGGAGAGGGAGCGAGGGAGGGCGGAGAAGAACTGATTCTGTCGCAGGCATGTGGGACACGCTGCGTTCAGGCCGGCGCCGGCCGCGGGCTGGCAGAGTGCGCACCGAGGCGCGAGGGGAACCGAGAGCGGCCGCGGAGGCAGGGGGCAGGAGGAGGAGGCACGACTGCCAAGGACACAGCTACACGTCCGAGCGCGCCGAACAGGAAGATAGGAATGCAAGACGGGCCAGCCGCTGATAGTGAGGCCTCCCAAGCTAGCCATGGCTGGCTGCTTCAATGGAGGCGCCAAGACGCTCTTCCAGGCCGAAGCACTCGCACTAGAAGGTTGCATTGATAACATAACCTCCGTGGTTTCAGCACTTTCCCCTCTTGAACTGTCACGTCCGGCTGGCCACGCATGGCCCCAAGCTGCGCAGACGAAGAAGGAAGAAGAAGAAGAAGAAGAACAAGAAGAAGAAGAGAAAGAAGAGACGAGCGCTCAGAACTCGACGAGCGAGAAGGCAGGACGCGTGCACCAGGGAGACTCGAGCGCAGACGGTTTGCCGAAGACGAAGCCAAAAGCAAGCGGCAGTCGGAGGCGGAGAGAAAGAGAGGCGCACCGAGCAGCTCCCGCGCGCAGGTCTCCTCGGCACTGGGGTCCCGGAAGGGGCCCTGCAAGCGGAAGATCGGCATGTGGGCCTGGCACGATCGCCCCCTTGTGCCTTCGTCTTCCCGGACCTCCAGCGCGTGGATCAAGCACCCGAGAGGAAGTCTTTTGCAGTATACGCGGTCCCTGGTCGCCTTCGCCAAGCCCTTGGGCCCCTGGGGAAAAGGTCCGTCATGAGACGGCTCGGGGTGAACCGTCATGAAGCGGCTCGGGGTGAACCGTCATAAAGCGACCTCTGGTGGACCGTCATAAAGCGGAACATCTGGTGGACCGTCATAGAACGGCTCAGGGTGAAAAGCCGGCCCTGGGGAAAGTGTTGGGACTTCCAGGGGCCCCCGTATCAATAAAATCAGGCATCGGATACCCGGGTCTCCCTCTCCCTCTCTTTCCATCTCTCTCCATCTTTCTCTCTCTCTCTCTCTGACACTCTCTCACTCTCTCAATCTCTCCCTGCCTCTCTCTCTCTCTCTATATATATCTCTCTCACTCTCTCGCTCTCTCTCTCTCTCTCTCCCTCTCTCTATGTGGGTGCCTCTATGCACATGCATCACGATGTACACCTGTAAGTTAGTTTATGGTAAAGCTATGTGTGCATACATGCCTGTATCTATAGATGGGCGAGGGGCGGCGAGGGAGCGGAGGGAGGGCGAGGAGCAGGATAAGGAAGGAGCGCGATGCCGGGCGAGGAGGCCTTTTTTTTGTTGTATGGGTGTGCCCCTCGCTTTTTGCCTCTGCCTGTCTGTCGCTCTCTCTCTCACTCTCCTTCTCTGTCTCTCTCCCTCTCAATCCTTCTCTCTCTCTCTGTCGGAACCTGTCGGAGGTTGGGGGGTGAGATCGCAGTGGAACGGAGACCCCCAACTGGGAAATCGTTTCGTTTCGTTCGTGTCGCGCGTGCGGGCGAGGCGAAGCTGCGTGGGCGCGCGAGAGGAATGTACCCGTCGTTACTAGGGCGGAGTCAAGACAAATGATTCTCGTCCGCCCGCCCGTCCAGCGGTGGCTCGCAGTGTCCCGCGGTGCCCCGCGGTGCCCCGTGGTGTCCCGTGGTGTCCGCCGTTGCTCGGGCGAACTCAAGACAAGTGATTCTCCTCCGCCCGCCCGTCCGGCGGTGGCTCGCGGTCCCCCCCCCCAAGTCCCTCCCAACCTCGTTTCCCTCCCCCCCCCCTCTTCCTGCCCCTCGCGCCCTCCGCCCCCTCCCCCGACGTCGGCGCGCGGCCGCGCGCTGGCGGGCCGGGGAGGAACAGGAGAAAAGGAAGAGGAAGAGGAGACCGGAAAAACGTTCAGTCCAGATCCCCAATGTGCAAGAGAAAGAGGACCAGCGGCAGCTGAAGCCAGCCGACGGGCCGGGAGCCTGGCCGAAGCCGCAGGTGATAGCGATGCGAGGATTGCGGAACAGCCAGTACAAGAGGCTGGGGATGGCACCTTGTTCGGGGGGGAGGGCGGAGTGGACTGACGAGCAGACGAACGGACGTCACCTCAGCAACGCTAGCCGAGCTCAGGGATAGGTGCGAAGCGCCGAAGCGCACAGCGCGGCATCGTCAAGGGTTCACGTCCGAACTCAGTCAACTGTGACGCGGTAAATTGAAAACGTGGTAGTACTCTGGAGTACCATGTGGGATCGCAGGTAGGATGAAGAGGGGGATGAGGAGGAAGCAGAGGGACACAACCAACGTCGACAACAGCAGGGTAGCAATGAGAACGTCACTTTCGACAATCATCGTCCATTCCCGCTGGTGACTTAATTCCACACATGCGCACACGACAAGTGATTACACACGAGAATAAGACCGTATGTGTGGGGGGGGGTGCGAGCATATTCGCAGTTTCTAGTGCACTGCAATATGATTAAATGCACAGTCACGTGGCTTGGCGTAGTTGTTGTGGAATACTACACACAGCGTTGTGGGACATTGCGCGCGGCCTGCTGCAATGTGGTACAATGTATCCTGGCGCCGCGCGCCACGGTGTGTAAGCTTTCTAGAACGCAACGCGCTGCAGAATATCGATGTCAATACCCCGCCCTTCACGAAAAATCGTTAGTCAAATACCAGTTCCGGCAAAAATGTCCATGTCGTTTGATGCCTTCTCAACGCGATGCCGTCGGATCGAGGAGGCCTAGAGAGGCCCCACGAAAGCCCCATCACAATGTCAAATAACTGTGGCTGGCTTCGGGAACTCGGACGGCCCAACCCATGAGGCCAGCTGCAAAAGGAGGGAACGTCCAGACGAGAGATGCGCTCCAGTCAAAACCCATCCACGCCCAGCGACACCATAGAGACTCAACTGGGCACTGGCTCTATATCTGGACAAGTGTCGCACTCATGGTCCTCGCATAAGGAACGCGGCGAGCCTCGGCCACGAATCCGCCACCGTGCCCTCGGGCACGGGCTGGGCGTGCCCTCAGGTCGATTGCCACATCCACTGAGCCGGAGCCCTCACTCCAGAGGAGTCTCTTGGGGGCCCGGACCCCAGAGGCTCAAATCTCATGGGGCTTCTCGCGTGCCCCCCGAAGCTCCTGGCATCTTCTCGCATGACTTTTTCGGGTCCAAGAGGGCCTCAGGACGGGCTAAGAGGGCCCCTCGAGGCCCTCAAGACGGTCCGGGAGTACCCCGAGACGCAGAAAAATCGCCACAAGACTCCCAAGATGGGACCCCGACTTCAAGACGCCCCGAGAGGCCTCCAAGAGGTTTCCGCAGAGGGGCCGAAGATGGAACAATTGCGCATTTCCCACCGCTATATGATGATATCTGCGCTGGCGGCGGGCCTATTCGAATGTTTCAGCATACGCGATACACATAAAGTAGGATATCTTGCTTGTTTGAGGGAGGAGTACGAGAGAGTGAGGCCAGTGCGAGGTGTTAAATGTGACTCCGATTGGAGCACAACAGACATGAAACAAGGGAAGCAAGAGATCCTATCGGGAAGCAAGAGATCCTATCGTGACTGGGTGCCTGTATTCCCAAATCAGCGCTTGCACTGTAGAGATCTTAGCGGGTATTCAAAGATTTGGCGAAAAATCGCAGCCGATTTCGATAGGCGGCCGGGCTCCCGGATTTCCGGATCTGGGTTCCGGGTTCTGGATTCGCGGCGGCTGGGTTCCCAGTCTGGGTTCCGGGTTCCCGTTTGCGGGTTCTGGTTTGACCTCGGTGGGCGGCTGCGTTCCCGGGTTCCCGGTTCCTGGTGCCAGGGTTCCCCACACACACATATCTAGATGCATGCATACATACATAAATACATACATACATACATACATACATACATACATACATGCATGCATGCATACATACATACATACATACATACACACATACAGATGGACGGATGGACGGGCAACCAGACAGACATGCCGATCGACATAAGCACGTACGTACATACCTACATACATACATGCATGCATACGTACGCACAAACATACAATCATAAAGACAGACAGACAGACCGATAGACCTATACATGCAAGTACGTACATACCTACATACATACGTACGTACGTACATATATATATATATACACATACATACGTGCATACGTGCGTGCATGCATGCATACATACATCCACAGACTTACATATATCTACACATGTATACGTTCATATATATATATACATACATACATACATACATACATACAAACATACATACACACAGACATACATACATACATATATACATACATCTATGCATACAGGCATACATACATACATGCACATATACATATACATATGCAAATATATATATATATATATATATATATATATATACAAATACATATGCATATACATGTGCATGTACATATACATATACATACATCTGCATATATATATATATATATTCATTTCCATATCAATATACATATACATATACATATACCTATATACATATATATGCATGCATACCAACCAGCCGATCTACATACAGACATGCATAAATACTTACATACATTTCATAGAGAAGGAGAGGGGGCATACGGAATAGATAAGGATAAATATAAATATGTGCGGAAAGACGTGCATATAACACATATACACACATACATAACCGACCGCTCCCGAGAATACTCCCCTGGGGATAATAAAGTTCGGGGGTCTGGCGGGGATAACCAACGATTTTCCTGACGAATGTGATGATGAGCATGATGATGATCCTGGGCGCTCGTGTACACTGACCTTGTAGAGCTTGGCACAAGACTGACTCGAGAAATCTCTAGTCTCGTGGCTACAACTTGCCTGGTCGAAAAACGTATGCAACTTCAAAACCCAAATCGGTCACCATGGCCCTGCCACACTGTCCTGACTCGGGAACGGCTGAGAAAGTGAGAATCCCATGGCCCTGCCGCACGTTCGTGACTTGGGAAAACTGAAACAGTGAGAATCCCATAGCCCTGCCACGCGCTCGTGACTGCGGAAGCTGAATAGGTGAGACCACCATTGCCATGCTCAACGTTTTTGATGCTGTTGCTAGTCAACATAAGATAATAGCAACTTCGATTCGCAACTTCCCCCAGTGATTATCAAGTTCGGCCTCCGCGCCCCTCTCCACAGTTAAATCATATTGACACGGGATGAAAAAGATTCAGGGAGGAAAGGGGGGATACATTATTATCCGGGGCAGTCGGTTATATGTACATACCAACCCATTCACTGAGTTGGGTTTCATCTGGCGCAAAACGATAAAACCTCTTGGGGCATACGATTCGTCTGTGTTTGAGGGTTCTAAAGTGCCCCGGAAGATTCGTCATGTGGGCCCCAGGGGGCATCGGAAGATTAAGAAACTCCACAAGGCACTGGCTGGCAGGTCGACTTCTTCTTCAATGTGCCCTCTGTAGCGCCTATACATATATATATATATATATATATGAGGCCCGCGGCGGGCTCCGATACCTGCTTGCTCGTACTGGTACCCTCAAACTGGCGCATTCAATGGGTTTCTGCCGAAACTGCTAAGACGCGTCAGACTCAAACCAACCTCTCATTCCTATCCGCGTTTGCAGGGCTATATAGCACCGTATAGAGGACCCCTTGTGCATAGTCTAGCCGCTTGGGAATATGTGAAAAGACGCGTATCGAGAGGGGGGAATTAGCCTGGCGGAGGACCCAACCCTATGAAGTTGCGTCTGGAGCAGGCCCTATTTTTCTCTTCTCATATACTGCACGATTGGTGTGCCGAACTGGGCGAATCCACAAATGCAATATCCCCTGGAGTCCATGGGGGCACGATCCGCGCGAGGGGTTTGCTGAAATGGGCGGTCGGGCATGATCAGAGCGAAGGGTGAGCGGAAATGAACGGGGCCTTGCACACGAAATCCCCACTCGAGCCGTAGGTGGAGCTGCCTTTGGGGCACAGTCTGCGTAAAGCGTATACGTATGATTGTCCCTTTCACTTCGGCACTACGCTGCGCATTTGCGTGAAGGCTACGCCGAAGTGGACGGGGGCCCGCATGCGACCTTCACCCATGGGACAACAGGTCACATCTGAAGCCCCCAGTGTGGGGGCACGATCCGCGTGAAGGGTGTACCGAAAGGGATGGGGGGCGCAAACCCACTGCCCCCATGGGGCCACAGGTGAAGCTGCCTGTGGGGCTCGATCCGTTTGAAATGGATGGCGGAATCGACAGGGGGCGCAGGCAAACTCCCCACACGCGGCCACAGGTGGAGCGCCTCACGGGGCACGATCTTTGTGAAGAGGATGGCGGCATGGATGGGGAGGCACATGCAAACCGCGTCCGAGCCCGAACTGACCCTTGCTTCATCATTTCGACTGGAGGCGGAGCTCGGCTTTAATTAATAATAGCTCAATGAGAATGGCCCCCCGGGGGTTAGTTAAAAAAACGGAGTCCAGGCGGGAGACTCAGCTTTCTTCCAGAGATATCGGTGTGAGGATGTCTAGATCAAGTTTCGCCCGAGACATCTCCACAATCAGAGCTACGATAGGAACTTTGGAGGGATCACGAAGTTCGGCATCCCCGCCTGCTGTTTCAATGGACCCACGTTCAGTCCACCAGATAAGGATTACAAAGGGAAAGGAAGGGATGCTTGATGATCCGGTGAATGCGGCTCGTGGCCTCCAAAATGTCCCCAGATGCATCCAAGACGGTTCACCAAGACGGCCCCATATAGCCGCAAGACGAACCGAGGGCAAGAGACCCAAGATGGCCCCAGGACTAATCAAGAGGCTCGGAATACGCCGCCAGACGGCCCCAAGGGGACCCATAACAGGCCCCCAGGACGCAACCTAGCTTGGCAAATTCGGCCATTCCGCACCCAGGACGCCCAAAGTCACCCCAGAAGACAAACAGAAGCACCAAGAGCGCCACGAGAAGAGGGCCCCAGAAGCTCCAAGAAGAGTTTCCAAAGGTGTTCCTGACGGCCCAAGGGAACCACAAGCCTTCCGACGAAGGCTCCGAGAAAAAAAAAATGGCGCGTAGGGAGGAGGCGGGGCGAGGAGGCGGGAGCGCGAAGGGACGAAGAAGAGGCAAAAGGAGGGATCATTGAGGGCGGAGCGCTTCGGCGGACGCCCGCTGCGCCCACGCGCCGAGCTCGTCGGGGCGACTCAAAAGCAATGGCAGTTGGCGCCGCGCGGCAGGGCCCCGCATACGGCGGCACAGCCGCGCGAACCCAAGTGGTTGCCAGCGAGGTCCAGGGTGGCCAGTTTCTCCATCTTCGCGAGGGCCTCGGCGAAGGCCTCGGCGTGCCCCGCGTGCCTGCCCAGCCGGTTGCCAGCGAGGTCCAAGATGGCCAGCTTCTCCAGCTTCGCGAGGCCCTCGGCGAGGGTCTCCGCGCCGCCCGCCTGCCCGCCCAGCTTTTTCATCTTCGCGAGGTCTTCGGCGAGGGCCTCCGCGCCGCCCGCGTCGTGCATGCCCAGCTGGTTGCCAGCGAGGTCCAGGGTGGCCAGCTTCGCCATATTCGCGAGGGCCTCGGCGAGGGCCTCCGCGCCCCCCCGCGTGCATGCCCAGCCGGTTGCCAACGAGGATCAGGGTGGCCAGGTTCTTCGTCTTCGCGAGGCCCTTGACAAAGGGCCCCCACCTGCCCGGCGCCTCGGAAAGGCTGAGTTTGCACTGCGACCTCGTCATCGCGTGCCCGGCGGAACGCGCCGCCAACAGCTTCGGCGCAATGGACAAACGAGAGGTGCACAGACTTGATCAAAAGGGACTCGACCTGGTGGCGAAGCACGCAGTTCTGCAGGCCAGCGAGCCGTTCCTCTGAGATTTGTCCGAGGAGCGCTGGCAGGTCAGCGTTCGTGGCAGATTCGCACGTCGCGCCCAGGATGGCCGCCGCGGCGAACATCCTCGCACGCTGCGGCAGTGCCGCGGCGGGGGTCGAATTACCCAGCCCTGAAAGCAGGAGCGAAGCGGTGGGGTTGTCCCGCACGCGGATCAACACGGCTGCAGCCCGCCCCACGTCGTTCGCGCGCGTTGCCAGGAAGCCGCGTACCTCTTCAAGAAAAGCCGCCATCAATGTTCAAGACCATTCGAATCCACATTCGGCGGATATGACAATCACGGGGCTGGAGTGGGTAAGAATGGTAGTTCCACGATATTTAAAAGAGGGTTTCGGATCGGCGAAGTCTGGATGCCCCTGACCTCTAAAGAGGGATTGGGCTCAGATGAGAAAGGAGAAGAAGCGGAAGGAGGGAGGGGGGGAAGAGGCGGAGAAGAGAGGAAGATGATAACAAGGAGGACGACGGAGAGGCAGGGAGGAAGAAGTAGACGCAGCAGGGACGATAATGAATAACAGGAGCAAGTAGGAGGGCAGACGAAGAAAAAGGAAAAATCGGAGCCAGGAGGAGACGGAGACGAGAGGAGTAGAAGGGAGGAGATGGGAGGAGGAAGGAGGAGAAGGAGGTGGCAAGAGGATTAGGGAGCACGGACGTGAAACGAGGGAGAAGGTGGGAAGCGGGAGGAGTGAAGAGGAAGGAAAAAGGAGGCAGGAGAGGGGCAGCGGCCGCGGTCCTCGACTGATCCACGTGTCTGCATACGTGAAGCGAGGGAGAGAGAGAGAGAGAGAGAGCAGCGGCACGGCACAAGGACCACGAGCGCGCTATCTGCAGCGGTGCATTCGCACGGCGGGGGGAGGGTCCCAGTGTGCCTCGCGAGTCCAGCACGGAGGTATCTCTGGGGCGAGGCCACGCCCCCTGGCCCAGACAAAAAGGACGGCGGCCACGATCCACTCTATTGAACCGCAGGCAAGCCAACAAAATTTTGGTTTTTTAAAAGCAGCGACCTTGCCCTGAAAAGCGAAACCGCTGAAATGACACGTTCCCTGGACGACGACCCGCGGAATTGTCGCTGTCGGCACTCTGGGACCCTTGAGTGAGTCGGTACATCGCTGCGTCTAGAGACGAGGAGAAGATCAAGCGGGGACGACGAGACGAAGCCTTAGACGGCGAGACAGGGAGAGGAGGAGGAGGAGGAGGAGGAGGAGGAGGATGAGGAGGAGGAGGAGGAGGGAAAGGACGGAGCCTGGCCAGCACAGGACGGCGCCGCCTGCCTCACCCTGCTGGAGTCGGTTACGTATCCAGGCCGTCCAACGCGAGCTGCAGGAGCCTCCCTTGGCGCGACTTCGGAGGGGTCCTTCTCATGATCTTCGCTCCCAGCTGCACGAGCGCAGCCAGCACCTCCGACTGGGCCCCCGTCTCCTTGTCGCGCGCGTAGGACACTCGGCGGCACTTGACCTGCCGGGCGAGCGAGGGGTTCGCGAGCATCGGATCTCCCTGGGCACGATCCAAATAGGCCTTGACGGTCGCTGCATGTTGAGCCCCCACTCGATCTCCTCGCCGCTGGAGGGTACCCACGAGCGCGAGACGCAGGTGGGGGCGCGGGACCCCCAGGTTCTCCAGCGCCTCCACTGGGCTGCCTGCTCGGATCTCGCCTCTGTGACCTCGCAGCAGGCGGGTGGCCTCTTGTGCGAAAGACTTGCCCGTCAACTGAACGGCTCGGCTGATTGCGTGGCCGCCTGAACGAGCGCAATCAAGAACGCTGCGCACCCGAGCGCCGCGATGCCCTGCATGCCCCTGAAAGCCGCCCGCATCGCGACGGGCATCGGCGCTTGGATCATCTCGATGGACATACGTTTGTTCTGGAGCTGCGCGAAGTCCCGTCGCTGCAGGCCGCGCGCGCTGTCCGCCATGTCGAAGACCTGGGCCGGGGGATGGGCTGCTCCTTGAAGCGCCTACTGTCGCCGCCGCTGCTGCCGCTGCTGCCCTGGGGGTGGGGGGGGCCCGGCGCCGCCGCGACCGCGGCCGCCGCCGCTGGCGCGAGGTCGCCCTCGGCCCCTGCCGCCGCCGCGGGCCCGCGTGGCTCTGCCCGGCGGACCCTGCGCGGAGCGCCGCGCTCGCCGCGCCGAGAGCGGAGGGCCCTGCCGCGTTCGCCCGCCTCGACGCTGAGGGCCCGCTGCGCGAGGTCCATCGCAGTTGACGAGGTCGGGCGCAGCTGGGGCGCGAGCGCCCCCGAGGTGTCTCTGCGTCTCCTCCAACGCGTCAAAAGGCGCCGAGCGCCTCGAGCCAGGTGGCACGCGCGCAATGAAGTCCTGGAACGCAGTCTCTTGATCCACGCGGAATGGGCAGCGAAGGTCGGGCGGGGCGGTCAGCTCTGGCGCGCGCGGACTCCCGTCGCAGATGAAGCGGCCCCTCCGCAGCGATTTCACCACGTGTCGTTTTGCCGTCACCGCACTTTTGAAACCCGACAAGCAGTAGAGACACTGATTCACCACAACCAACATACGCGCGGGCACCCGTTGTTTGCGGGGGCGGCGGCGGCACTGACGAGCCCGTTGGGCCCCCGCACTGTAGAAGACGCACCCGCGCACATCGTCTGGACCTGGACCAGGAAGCTTACATGCACAGGCCCCTGGGGGATCAGCATCAGGAACACGCGGTGGGGGCGCTCGCGGGGGGCTCGATGGATGGAGACCTCGCGGGGCTCGTCAGCGTCGAACCCCGAGATGGCCCGAGCAGCGGTATCATGCCGGAAGATGTCGCGAACAGAATAGGCCTCCAGGAACGCCGAGCCTCCCTCTAGATGATGAAGGGCCTCCAGATCCATTTGAACTTGCCGAGCCCAAGGGTTAGCTTGCGGGCTCACAGATCCATCATCCAGGAACGTCGCGTCTTCGCCGGGGCCCTCTAGAGCCCCAGAAATGGCGGCAAGTGGCTGTCGGGCCAGGAGCTCAGCACGGGAATCCGCGATGCGTAGTTTTGGTAAAACCGCAGCGTCGGGCAGCGAACGGTACTTCGGGCGCGTCCCCGCAGGAGCCCCCCCCCCGTGAACACTGGCCTGCGGTCACGCAGCACCACGCGAGCAAACGCAAGCACAACTGCGTCCAGCCTGCGCAGGCCGCGCTTCCCTGGCAGATACGACTCCAGGCCAGAGCGCGCTGCCGACGGCACCGCGCCTTTAGAAGCTAGGCGTTTCAAACGTAGAGAGTGAGTCATTTCCCAAAACCTCCCCATCCTCCTCCAAGCCGTTCTCGTAGCTTCAATCCGTCGTCGTACTTCTGCGGCACATCCCCCCGTCACTTAGTTGTTCCATCCCCCCGGGTATAGACTCTGAACAATAATAATTCCAGGCGCTGGCGCCGCGCGAGACAGCAGAGCCCGCGCCACTGCGATCGCGCCAGGGCCAACCATGACGGGCATGCAGATCTCCTCCTCGGAGCCCCGTGAGAAACCTCCTCCTTCCTCGAGGGCGCGATCTAAAATCGAGTTGGATTCAAGAAGCCTCGTCTGGGCCTCGGTGGGATTGCAGCTCGCCGTCGGAATCGCCCGGCGCACATCGCCAGCGCAGCCCCAAACCAAAACGTCGAAGAGTTCGCCCGAGAGAGCACAGGTCATCAAGCTCGCTGCACGGGCCAACACTGGCGCCCGAGAGCCTTCTCGGGTCACTGCATCAGCCTTCGCAGTGAGGTGATCTCGCCACTCTTCCACTGGCCTGAGAAAACTGCGCACGAACAAATCACAGGCACTCCCGCCCCCGCTTCCAGCCCCGCTACGTGGCTGGTAGTACCCCACCCCCGCCCCCGCCACGATCTCCACCACCACCTCCTCATGACGCCGGTGAAAGTAAACTCTGTCCAGCGGGGGCGGGCGCTCACGCGTCGTCTGCATGTCGTCGCAGGGCACAATATAACGTCTGCGAAGCAGAGGGGCGCACTGATCGCTTCTGCTCTCGACATTGAGAGTCTGATCCCACATGCGAGACAAGATGCAAGAGGTGAATATAGAACGTAAAAAGGTTGGAGAGCGAGGGCAACAGGAGAAGGGGGCCCCCCCCGGGCTCGCGCAGCGGGGGACAGCGTTGCCGAAGCACGGCACATGGCCCGCTCGGGCACGGCAGGGGCCAGGAGAGGGGAGGCAGGAGCATCGAGGGATTGGGGGGGAGAGGAATTGGGAGAGGGAGGGGAACTGGGCGAGCAATATGATCACGTGGACGCACTCTTGATTCGCCTGGACCCGAATACCCATGTCCAGCAGAGGAACATAGGAGACCATCGAATGGTTCAAATGAGCCGGAGCTGTGGCCCCATCAGCCCTCAGGGCGAAGGTGGTCTAAAGGTGTTTCTCTGTCCTCTTCCAAGTTCCCCTCTTCCCTCCAGGGAGCCCCCCCCCCCCCCCCCCCCTCCCCGAGATTTCTCCGCTCGGGGAGGGGGGGTCAGAGGGGCCATTTTCGCCCAGGGTGGCGCCGAGAGAACCTCCGATGCTCCGCGGTGGCCTCCAAGGAGGCTCACGAGAGCCGAAGATGCCTCAAGATTGCTCCCGACGTGCCTCCAAGAGACCCCGAGAAGACCGCGGCGCGGCTCAAAGCGATCTCAGAGCCCCCATCAGGTCTCGCGACGGCACGCGCGCAAGGGCGCTCGAACGATTTCGACATGCGCGCGCGAAGACCGTTTGATTGCATTTTCTGGAAATCTTGAAACACCGATGGTTTCCTCAAGAATTCGCAAGAGCGCGCGCGCGCGCTTTCGCTGAAAATCCTCGTTGCGAAACCGTGTTTTTGTTTTGTTTAGGGGGGCACTCGATTTTGAAATTCTTCCGATCTTCCGAAATCGCACGTTTTTGAAAGATTTCGGCGCGCGCGACAATGCGCGCGAGCACACTTCGTCCCATTTGTCGCAAGGGGTTCTTGAAAACTTATGATATTTGATAAACGAGCGCGCGCGCATCTAATGTTTGCAGAAGATGGCGGGGGGGGGGGCGATGCCGGCCCCCCCCGCGATGTGCAAATTCATTTCTCGGGTGGGCGACGGGGCAGAATCACATGCAAATTGGACTGCGGAAGTGTGGATATTAACCCCGGGGGGGGGGGGGGGGGCGGTAGAACCTCTTTCCTTTCTAGAGAGGAGAATCAGTGTGGTAGGAGATAACGCACTCATCTGTGAAGTGCGAGCTACGCGGTTCAAGTCATGCGGTGTACTCCACGTCGCTGCAACGCGTGCAACTACCCCCCGCGCTCGCACAAACACCCCAGCCACGAGCCCGCAATTTGGTCGACGAAACTCACGCGGCCGCGACCGCAATTATCCAACAAAACGCATTCAATTAGTTGAACGAGCCCTCTGGCACGGGGGTCCTCGTCGCGCGGAACAAGTCAATCCCGCGTGGCGCGCAACGGCGGAGACAACGCAGAAGACCGCGTCGACGAACAACGATGACGATGACAAAGACGATGTCGAATACGACGACGACGATGATGATGATTGCGGCGACGACGACGATGACGGCGATGAGGATGATGAGAAATACCGCCGTTGAAGATGGCGACGCTGGCGCGGCTCTTGCGAGGAAGCTCTAAGACGCGATGAGGGCGCGCGCGATGATTTTTTGAAGCGCCCCGTTGGAAAACCGCTGGTTTTCTTAAGCTGTCGAGAATCTCGATCTTGCCATCCGCCGACCCCTAGCAGGTCTCGTCTCTAAGCGCGCGATATCCCCCCACCAATCCCCCCCAGGGCCCCCAAACGGGACAGTTGGCCATTTGACCCCCTCCCCCGCCCCCACACGGTTCACCCCCGAACTCCTCCGGCGCTGTTCGGGCCTTCCAAGACAGCCCCAAGGGCGTCCAAGACGGTCGCCGGGGCTTGCCAGACGGCCCAAAAACGGCCCGCGAGGGCCCCGAGTGGCCGAACAATCGAACCACGATGCGCAAGATGGCCCCCGAGCGGCCCAAGAAGCATCTGAGACGCCCTGACAGGTTCCCAATCGCACCCCCAAGATGGCACCCAAAGGCACAGATCGCCAACTGCCTTCGGGAAGCGCACTCTTGTAGCACACACGACCGTTCGGCCTTCACGGCGTTGGAGGTGGCCCAAGAAAAGCTCAAGACCGCCCAAAGACTTCCGAAGAGGGCCTGCGCGAGATGCCCATGACGGCCCAAGAGGGCCGCGAGACTGTCCAAGAGGGCCCCAAGACGGCCCAAGAGGCGCCCAAGATGACCCGAGATGCCGTGCCATCGGCTTCGTTGCAGTGCAAGCCCGGGCCCACTTCGCTGTCGTAGTAAACTACCGCGCAGCTGTCAGCATAGGACGCCGCTGGGAGTTGGCGCGCACTCTTGGCCAGTCGAGCAGCAACTGCATTTTCGAAGCGGAAAGAGTTGCGGATGAGGTACTGTAGTCTACAGTACTCGAGTGTACCTTAGGTGATAGCCGGTTTGCACCGGCCATTTGCACTCGGCCTTGCTTGGCAGGTACGCAGCCAAACACCGCGGCAGGTTTCCTCGCAAGCAGTCCAGCAACGAAGGCCAAAACAGTTCGCAAAGCCGCATTGTCTGAGCCGATCTCGCGTGCCATTGACGCCCCGATGTACACTGTACGTCGTGCGTCAGGACATTGTACCTGCACCTCTCTTCCACCAACCTCGACAATGGCCCGGCCCCGTTCGGGCTCGTTCCGCGCGATCGCAAAAACAAGCAACTCCATCCCCTAATCATCCTTGATCGTTGCCAGGCGGCGGTCGTCCGCGAGATTGCCCGCGTTGAAATGGTGCTGACCGGTCGTGGAGGTCTTGGTGCGTAAAGCGCGCTTGGTTCTGGCTACCGCAGTGGTCTGCCCGGTGGCTTTGATGCTAATGTGCCTGATATGCTGTTTCCGCTTGCGATCGGAGGCAGTCGTCTTCTGTTCGTAATCAGGGCCAGAGAGATCAGGGAGACATGCTGGTTGTCTGCCGTGCAGTGCGTTGCATGAAGATACTCAATTGCAAGACGCAGACGCATCACTGACAAACGAAGCCTCGCGCAGTAGCCTAGTGAACACAAGAAGGATATCAGGCATCTTGAACTATAATTCCAGGGCGCGCTGGAGGCGTCTGAGGATGCCGATTCAGGCTTCGCTTGTTTCAACGTGCTGGCCGCGCGCGCGAATGCGGAGTTCTGTGCCCTTCGAGCCAAGAGTAGCCTTTGCTGCGCCGTTGGTGACAGCCCTGCACCGTCGGAGTACAAGACGTTGGCTGCGCCATGTTGCATCCAACGCTGGTCAAAGACATTCGGCATGGTGTGGACGCGTCTGCCGGGCGCTTCCATGCCAGCACTGAATCGAACGCAGCGACCTACTACATGGGCAACACCGCGTAGTTGTTTGTAGAACAAGATACCGCATTCGACTTCCTCACATTTTTCTGGGAGGGCAACCGATGACATGATCGCGTTGCCAGGTTTCTCCCAAGCCCTGCGCTAGCGGCATGAGTCACACGCTGCTTTGATCAGATTATGGCGGCTGTTATCCATGCCCACCTTCGACAGTATAAATCATATTCGGTTCTTTCGCGAAGTACCATTGTACGTGGAGTTTCCGTAGTTCTTTGGTGACTACGGCTGGATCATAACTACGCAAGTGCTGTAGCCTTACCTGAACGTCAAAACGCGTCCAGGCAGGTAGTCGCGCACGTGGCCGTGCCTCAGCGCGTGGCTGAGGTGGGAGAAGGGCGTCGCCTCCCTGTTCGCGCCCACGCCTGCCCACAACTTGCGATCGCCTGCGGCGGTCGTCCGAACTGCCGGCGCTTCCGCGGCTGCCCCCGTAGACAACCCGGGTCATGTCGTAGCTGCTGGCGCCTGCAATTAGATCGTCGCCCAGTTGGGCCTGCCTTAGCCTCGGGGCGCGCGGCCGCGCATCCTGCTTTGCAGTTGGCGCTGCTGGCGCGGCTGCCGCTGGCCGGGCATCAGCCGGTCGGAACTGTCCGCGATTGCCTGGTAACTGCCACGGGTTGGCCAATCTACATTTGCCTGGTATCAGCAGATGACGACGTACTCTTCCATAGTTCATCTTACCATTGTGACACTCCCACTAATGGGTTTCTTTGTAATACCATCTGCGCTGTCTTGGGTTGCGGTTGTGCTGGTGAGTTCGTATAAATGGTATCGACACAAGCTGGGCAACCAAGTCCCCCTGACGGTGGTCTGACCATGCCGTAATTGGAAGTCCGCGGTAAAGTAGGGTCGTCTAGATCGTAGCCAGCACGGTCGAAAACATAAGTATCGTTAAAAGGGTCCCCACGCGAAGAAAAAATGTCTTTGGCAATCTGCACCGAACCTACAAATTCATATTGCATTTCCGGGGTATACTGATATGCCTTGGCAAGCTCCTCGTTACACGGCGAAGCGTTTTGGTGGTGACTCTTACAGCGTCTGTTGGCCATGAGTCCGGTGGGTTTGCGCATGAGTGCCCCGCGCGAATCTCGTAGAGACCTCCAAGACGCCCCTGCGAAGCTTTAGACGGCCCAAGAGAGCCCCAAGACGGCCCCGAGGGGCCCAAGACAGACGGCCAAAGACGGCCTCAGGAGCACCGAAGAAGACCCAAGAGGGCACTAAAAGAGCCCCTGAACTGCCCCGAGATTGCCCGAGAAGTCACCTCCAAGAGCCGATGTGAAGCAATGCTGGAAGCTGGTTGGATCAATGGTAGAGATGCGAGCCTGTGATGTTCCAGACGCCCCGATAGCAAGTGGGTGAAGCAGAATTCAAGAACAAGCGGGCGTGTGTTGCATTGTTTGTCGAACCTTCCACAAGGGCATGGGGCGGCGGGGGGTCGCAGGAGAAGTCTTTGATATAGAATGGCATGGGAGATGTGCACGTCTGAGGGGGAGGGAGAGATAGAGAGAGAGAGGAATAACGAGAGAGAGAGAGGCGCGGGCAGACACAGCGTACGAACGTGTCGAACCAGATCACGCGACTACAAATTGGTTGCGATACAGCTCATAGGTGTGAAATGGGAGCGGCCAAGCTTGTCATCCGCCTCGGGATAACAAGAGGGAGAAGGACAGCAGAAGAGATGTGCATAAGATGTTGGCACCGATTTCGCGCGCAAGGGCGAACATGTAGTAGCCATAGTCCACCTGGTTCGGTTCAGCGAGCAGGGAGTGCGGTAAGCCATTAAAGAATGAGTGGCACAGAAATGCCACAAATAGCTGGGCACTTGACATGGGAACGTGCTGGGAGCAATGCGTATCCGACTGATCGAAATGCTGACGACAAGGACGAAGTCTTACCGACCACTGCTGAATCATTCGGCGGCAGGGGTGACCAGGACTCATTTGAACACCCCTTCCTTCACTCCAATACCCCGTCTGGAACATCAAGTCACCTCCTATCCAGCGGCCACATATCAGACGTCATGTATGTGTGACACATCTGCTGGTGTAAACCACTTTCTAACTACTCTCCGATCGGGGCATATTGGCTCCTTCGCCGTCGAAGACGGTAAGAAACCTGTTGTGAGTCGTTGTGTTCTCCCCCTGGCACATGCTGCCATGCTGTCCCGCCTTCCCGAGCGCAATGGTGGATCTGTGCGGCTGCGTACGGATCCGGCTCCCTGCTGCTGCTGGTGCTCCTCCTCCTGCTCCAGCTGCTCGTCGTCCGCCTCCTCCTCCGCCTCCTCCTGCTAGTGGTCCTCCTTCTCCTCCTCCTACTCCTCCTCCTCCTTCTCATGATCATCATCAACAACTTCTTCATCATCATCATCATCATCAACAACATCAGCAGCAGCTGCAGTATCATCTTCACCACCATCAACGTCAACGTCATTACCATCCCCATCACCATCAGCATGACCGTCACCAGCATCATCGTCATCGTCATCGTCGTCATCATCATCATCAGCATCGTCATCACCACCATCACCACCGTCATCAACATCATCATCAGCAGCATCATCATCATCGTCATCAGCATCATCATCATCAGCATCAAAATCGTGATTAGAACCTTCATCGGCATGATCAGCATCACCACCATCATTACCATCGCCATCATCAGCATCATCACCAATACCATCACCACGATCAGCATCATCATCATCATCATCATCAGCTGCAGCATCATCAGCACTAGCAGTTTCATCATAATAGTCATCATCATCACTAGTATCGTCGTCATCATCATCATCAGCAGCATCATCAGCATCAGCATCCTCATCAGCATCAGCATTAGCATCAGCATCATCATGGTCATCAGCATCTCAAGCATCATCGCCATCATCATCATCAACAGCATCAGCATCATCATCAGTATCATCATAATGATCACCAGCATCATTATCGTAATCACCATCACAATCACCAGCAACACCATCATCATCATACTAGCAATGGAAATAATAATAATAATAATAATCATAAGCATCGTCATCCTCATCATCATCATCATCATCCTCATCATCATCATCATGTTCGTCATCATCATCGTCGTCATCATCATCATCAGCATAATCATTATCATAATCAGCATCGCCATCACCACCATCATCAGACACATCATCAACATCATCAGCATCAGCATCATTATCACGATCGGCATCAGTATCACCATCATCACCATCATCAGCATCATCATCGCCATCATCATCATCACCATCGCCATCATCAACAGCATCAGCATAATCATCATCACCATCAGCATCACCAGCATCATCATCAGCATCAGCATCATCGTCATCATCATCAGCAGCATCATCATCACCATCATTGTCGGCATCATAGCTGTTTCTGCCACGAGCTGGGACATAGTGGAGCGGACTCGGGGCTTGTGCGGGCTGGCTTAGGAACAGCTGTCGTCCGCGCGGGCCTTCCATCGCAGGAGGAGATGATCGTCACCTAGAGTGGAGGTGTGAATCGTGCTCCAGGTCGGGTACTGTGGTATCGAACTGGGCGTCGCGCACCTCATGTCGTCTCTGCGGGGTGGCCAAGAAGAAACGCGAGCCAGAGCTCACCTCCTGCGGTTCGGGGAAGTCAGCGAGGAAGGCGCCATGGCACAGCAGGTGGAGTGACGACGGGCCCACCCTGGCCGTGAAGCTCAAGGGCCAGTCAGGGCCTGGGATGCCTCCACCGTCTTTCAAGCAGAACAGGGGCGCCCTCATCCTGGACCGCGCGCGCCTGCTGCACGAGCTGGAGTGCGCCGAGGTCCAGGAGAAGCACTTCTGCCTGGAGTGGAAGCCGACCAAGGGCTGCCATTCTAAATTCCACAACTTTGCCAGTCGTCGTCGCTGAGCGCATGCGAGTAAGGCAAAGTGGGATGACCCTATGAGGAGCCTAAGCTGCAGAACCTTCTCCACCGCATGAGCGAGACGGAGGCCACGGTCGCCAAGGCGGAAAGCAGGGCCGAGCGGCTCAAGGAAGAGCTGGCCGCGACCCAGGCGAAGCTCGTGCTCCAGGGTGCCGGCGCGGCAGAGGGCGGCCATCAGGGAGCACGCCGACACCATCGCGAAGGTCATGCAGAAAGAAGGGGAGGGGGGGGCTTTGGGGGTGCGGGCACCTCCAACGCCAGGCTCGCAGCTGGCGCAGGCGCTGGATGTCCTCAGAGGCAGGCTCGCGCATCGCCAAGCAGGTGCAGAACCGGGTGGAGGCGGCGGACTCAGCCCAAGCCAGCAGTCGCAGCAGCTGCAGAGCGCGCCCGTGCAGCAGCCCCACCAGCCGCAAAAGCCCAGCCCCAGCAGCAGCCACAGCCTCAGCCGAGGCGGCGGGAGGCGGCGCAAGGCAGAGCAAGGCGGCAGAGGACGCTCCCTCTAGTGATCCTGGCCTGGATCGGGTTTAGATGATGATAATGATGGTGATGGTGGTGATGGTGGTGATGCTGATGATGTTGATGATGATGATGATGATGATGATGATGATGGTGTTGGTGTTGATTCGAATGGTGGTGGTGATGATGGCGATGATGATAACGATGATGCTGCTGTGTGTGATGATGATGACGGTGTCGGGGTGATGGTAATGATGAGAATGGTGATGATGATGGCGATGGCGAAGAAGGTGGTGATAATGATGGTGAGGATGGTGGTGGTGGTGATGATGATGATGACGATGATTATGGTGATGATGATGGTGGTGATGATGACGAGGAGGGTGGTGATGAAGAAGGTGGTGGTGATGCCGGTGGTGATGATGATGGTAATGCTGATGATGATGATGCTGATAATGATAATGATGGTGATGATAGTGCTGCTGATGCTAGTGATGATACTGAAGATGGTAGTGGTGATAATGATGGTGGTGGTGACGATGCTGCTCGTGATGACGATGGTGGTGATGCCGGTGATGATTACGATAATGGTGGTGATGATCCTAATGGTGGTGATGATGATGGTGATGAGAATGGTGGTGGTGGTGATGATGATGATGACGATGATTATTCAATGATGAAGATGACAATGGTGGTGATGATGACGCTTGTGTTCGTGATGGTGATGATGATGGTGATGATGCTGGCTGTGATGCTGAGAATGATGCTAATGTTGATGATGGTGATTATGATGTTGGTGATGACCATTGTAATGATGATGATGGCGGTGGCGATGATGCTGATGATGGTGATGCTGGTGATGATGATGGTGATGCGGATGGTGATGATGATGATGGCGAAGATAAGGATGATGACGATGATGATGGTGGTGGTGATGATGACACCGGCAATGATGATGGTGATGCGAATGGCACTGATTATAATAGTGATGACGATGATGTTGAGGATGACGGCAGTTGTGGTTATGTTGTGATGATGATGATGATGATGATGATGATGGGGATGGTGATGGTGATGATGGTGGTGATGATGATGGTGGTGATGGTGCTGGTGATGATGATGATGATCGTGATGATAATGGTGGTGGTGATGGGTATGATGATCATGATGGTGACGACTATGGTGGTGGATGCGGATCGTGATGATTGTGATGATGATTGTGAGGATGCTGCTGATGATGATATTGATGATCATGGTGGTAGTGATGGTGATGATCACGACGGTGGTGGTGATGAGTACGATGGTGATGGTGGTGGTTGTGATGATGGTGATGGTGATGATGGATGTGGTGGTGATGCTGATTGTGGTGATGATGGTGACGATGATGGACATGATGAGTGGTGATGATGATGATGACGGTGATGATGATCATGGTGGTGATGATGGTGAGGTTAATGATGATGATAAGGGTGATAATGTTATGGTGATGATTGTGATGGAGGTGGTGATGGTGTTGATGATGACGGTGGTGATGATGATGCTGATGATGATGATGGTGGTGATGATGATCGTTGTGGTAATGATGATGCTGGTGGTGGTGATGGTTGTGATGATGTCGGTGACGATGATGGTGGTGATGGTGATGATGGTGATGATGGTGGTGGTGATGATAATGGTGATGATGAGTATGGTGGTGATGACGATTCTCATAGTGGTGATGATGACGGTGATAATGATGATGGTGGTGGTAGCAATGGTGTTGATGATGGGAGTGATGGTGGTAATGGTGGTGGTGATGACGATGGTGATGATAACGATGGTGATGGTGATCATGTTGGTGGTGATGATGGTGGTGATAGTGGTCGTGATGCTGATTGTGATGATGGTGATGATGATGATAGTGATGGTGATGGTGGTGGTGTTAATGATGATGGTGATCATGATGATGAGAATGATGATGGCGATGATGATGGTGAGGATGAAGGTGATGATGATGATGATTGAGGTGATCATGATGACGGTGATGATGATGATGGTGATGATGATGATTATGGTGATGGTGGTGGTGATGATGATGACGGTGATGAGTGGGGAATGCTCGGCCAGTGAACTGAATCCACGCCAAGCCACGACCAGATCATCGAGGCGAGGAAGCAGCGTCGCACCGTGCTGGAGTCCGTAGGGTTCAAGTGCAGAAGGGTCGCAGCTGCCAGCCCCAGCCACCTCACCCGCTGAGCCTGGGGATGGAGCAGCAGCTGGCAGCGCGGTGGCAGCAGATGGGCCCCACAAAGGATAGCGCGAGGCTGCCCAGGTCGAGGTCGAGGTCGAGGTCGAGGGAGCATCCCAACTTCGTGGTGGTCAGCGCCAACGGCTCGGAATG